CACTGCCTGCCCAATCCATCTCTACTTCCTTCCACTGCATATTTGTTGAGCGATAGGTTCTTGATTGGTTCGTCGGTAGAACAGACTTCCTTGTTGCTTATTATTTCTTGCCTTCTCATCTGATCTTCAGTATCGAGCCAGCGTAGGCAGTTGTTGATGAATATGTGTAGTCTGTTGGAAATCCCTTTCGTAACGCGCCAAGTCTCTCAACTATCACATAGAAGCACTGACTTGACTTGACATTGGTGTTGAAAATCCGGATCTTGTTCCGCATGCTGAGTGCAGACGATCTCCAAACTGGTTTCAAGCTAATGAATGCCTGTCTTGCTTTTCCAATTCTGACTGGTCTTGACATCCTCGTCTGTGCCGTCTGTAATTGAGACAGTGCTGCTGATCTGTTTCATTCAACCAACCTAATTCTTAGAACCATTATTAGTAATATTATTAAATTGAAAATAACTAGTTTTATTAAGTCGTCTCAATTGACGAACAACTACCCTATGCTGAATGATGTAATCTACCATCAACCGATTCAGTCCTCATCTCAGTCCCAGCATTATTGTTATGATTATTATTATTGTCACTATTTTCTCACCTGAAAACCAGATAATTCTTTAGACTGCAGACTAATAATACATTATGTAATCTGTCTCCAACCCATCTATCAATAGCAGTCGAGCAATTCGACCTAGTGTGGCAATAGGAGAGCATAAGTATCAAGAAACAACAACTGATATCCATTGTACAAGTGGTGATTCTCGAGCCGCAGTTGCCTAGTAGCGTTTGAAGCGATGGATACTGGGTCCAAGTCTCAGTGGAAAAAACGTCACTCACTAAAATGTCGTCAACCTATTCAATTTGAACATCCTATCTACCACTCCTACTGTCTCCACACTACCACCTGAGCTACTAAAATTGATCGCTTCTATGTTGTTATACCGAAATCATTGTCTTAGTCCAAGCTATATATGTATGTATATTCTTCAGCATTCCTTTATGGCATATATATAAAAAGTATGTAGAGTATTCAGCTGACGGGTAGTAGTACTACTGAAATGTATGAATTCATTAAATTCTGCATTGTACATTCGTTGCTTCTTTTAAATATGTGTTTTCAACTTCATCTAATTACTTTTAGATTTTCAAATTAGTCAAGTGTTGTGTTACAGTATCAGAAGTATCATTGCATCACAAGTTGATAAAAGTTGTGGATGATACATAGATACAGCGAAGTTGACTTCAGTCTAATAAAATTGTCAGTTCAGCTGAAGACTACAGATTCAATCCAACAAGTGCAACTGATATGCACTGCATAGATGTCCCTAAATCCTGTAGCGGATAGAAAAGTAATCAAAGTCAGAGGTTTGTGAGAATTTTTTATAGATTCTAATACATAATTCATTTCGAACTGACATCAGCGTGGAAAACAATGAGAACATCAGAGCAGTAGTTAGCTGTTTCGACCAACTATGAAGCTCCTCAGCAATGCACACTCGTAACCATGAAAGGAATCGAACCCTTTCTACGTTCGGTTGCAGTCGTCTTTTTGAGAATCAGCTAGTTGGTTGGAATCAGATGTCCCTCGTTTCACTACTTCTGTCAATTCGCAATATGAAGGGATCATCATTTCCTGCTTGATGTATGATGTACAGACATATTATCTCAGTGTCACCCTCAGTATATAAGTGATTTCATTTCAATGCAGAGAATTATTAGTGCACGTAAAAGGTAAGTGATTTTTGAATCACCCAACTGATTCATACATTTCACTCCCTTGAAAAATTTGAACAAATAATGCCAAAAGACAGAAAATAGGTTCAGAAATTACGTGATAACACTGGGAAGGTGATCAAGAGAGACAGAAGAAAGCAGAAACTACGTGGCTTGGTCAAGATAAATGACAATCTATGTATGATCCGGTAAATAGCATCAGATCATTTTTGTTACATAGTGCAATCTCTCTTATCCACCACGATTACTACGATTTATTATTATTATTATTATTATTATTATTATTATTATTAGTATTAGTATTAGTATTATTATCATTTGTCCCTTGAGTTCCTAATGGAATACGGAGCTTCACTAGCGCGTCACCATTTCACTCTCTTCTCTCCACTCCTATCAACCTCGCTCCACGACTGCTCATAAACGTTCACTACATTCTTACATGATCTTCTTCATGTCATTACCGAACACACAACTCGTTGTCTCCTATTTCGGTTCCACTCGATGGCCTGTTCTCACTTGACGCGTGATGTCCTCAAACCGTATTCTCAGTCTATGTACAATCCACTCCAATCCAATCCAATGCAACCAATCGATCTCCACTTCCTTCTGATGCATATTTGTTGAACGGTATCTTCTTGCTTTGTTGTTTCGTTGGTTGGTTAGTCGGTTGGTTAGTTACCAGGCCACAGTACCTCCTTGCTTATTCTTTCTCACCTTCTCATCTGATCTGATGTGATCTTCAGTATGGCGTGATCGTAGGCGATAGGTGTTGATGATGTATGTATGGAGTTTGTTTGAAATACTCTTCGTAACACACCAAGTATCTCAACCATCACATAGAAGCACTGACTTGACTTGACATTATTGTTGAAAATATGGATATTCTTATCTATGTTGAGTGTAGTGTACTGGGGTACAGTGAAGTGTAATAGATCTTGACACTGATTTAAGATTAATGAAGGTCTATATTGCTGTCTCCCCTTCCAATGCTGGCTTTAATATGGTCATGTGTGCCTGCCTGTGTCACGCGTAGTAGAAACGATGCTGCGTAGGTGGATAGATAAGTGGGTAGATAGGTAGGTAGGTGAAATAGATAACATCCTTTAGATTTCTCCCGTTCATAGTGATTGATGCTTGTTGTTGTTGTCGTTGTTATTGTTGTTGGTTGGGTGGTATCTTCATCACCTGTGTCTTCTCTACGTTCACCTGAAGAAGGTCCCATCTTCGCTGTCCTGCCTCTTCTGCTAAGTTGTTAGTTTTCGCCTTTAGATCTTCGAGTTTGTGCGACATTACACATAAGTCATTGGTGAAATCCAAATCTTCTAGAGTCCTTTCATCGGCTAAATAGCGTATATCTATCTTTGACTGTTTCTTTTTATTCGTGTTCTTGTGTAATTTCCCAGAAATTTATACTCTCTTTATTAATTTGTTTATATTTTTCTACCTCATTTATTTTCGAGACAGATCTAGAATTGGCTATTCAAACATACATATAAATAGTCATTTATCCCGATTAAGTAATATAGTTTCTCCTTCTTCTTGTCTTTTCGAATTACTTACGGAGTGAACTCTTAGATCTATTTTCTGTATTTTAACCCACTTAAATTTGTATACAGTTGATGATTTCCGTGAACTACGAAGAGATTATTTTATTCTGTAAATCTGTTCACTTAATTGTGTTTCTGAAATAGTTTTCTATGTACATCACTTAGCTAAGATTATAACTAGTGATCTCTGATTTAAGCGTATCATGGAATAAAGGAACAGGCTGTAGTACTCACTATTGATAAAAATTCGCTTAAGCAGTATATAGGTTGCTGTCGCTGTGGTAAGCCAAGTAGACTTACCATCCAAACTATGAAGCTAAGGAAGAAGGAAACGAGAAACATGAGAAGGAAATACTTAAAAAAAGTGAAAAAGCAACAAAAACTTAAGAAAAAACTTTTTTTCGATAGTAGAATCATTTACTAGATGATATTTCGAGGAGAATTTATTACTCATGGTCATAATAAAACCGTTACATTCTACCATTGCGTTCAAATTCTGTATCTGCACTAATGAGAGTAGAATGTAGTTACGATTTGCAAAAACTATGTTCATTTAAAGATTGTAATATTCATTAGCAAGAAAAAAAAATGGTTTCCTAAGGTAAGAAGTCCGAAACCAACTTAACATATTCTCTTCATTGAAACTACAGTTACAATAACCTTCAATGAGTGATTTACCGACGAATGTGAAGCTACTTAGCTCCATGAAGTCCAAGTATGAACCGTTTAATTTTTTGCATAATTCCTAGATTGTTACTGAATTTTATAATCTACTAGTGTATTCATATGGTATGAAAAATTTAACTATCTAAAGCAAATTTATTCAAGCATAACAGTGAAGTACTTAATCCTGAACAAGTGAAACATTTGCATATTGTTTGAATCGATGAGATCTACCTAAGATATGCATAGTTTCTAATTAGTTATGTTATGTAGCGAAAAGAAGGCAGCCAATAGGGGAGTTTTCAAGTCATGATCAGATCATGTTCAGGTCGTGATTTATGCATGCGCTGATATGAGAACCTCATTAAAGAAATTCGACCTCATATGGCTTGACTTTCTGAGAGTTTTGTAACTACATATATGTCATGTATTTGCTTAATAAAAGTTGTTGTTGCTGTTCTTGCAGTCGCAGGCTGTCTTGCATTCTGGTTTCTCCACGGCTCAGTGAAGCAGAAGGTGCTGAGGGAGGTCAGTCGTAAAGGTATTCGGTTGAGGTGTTTATTGAGTCTCAGTATCATTATACCCACGTGCGCAACCCCACCACTCGGTCACAACAAGTTACATTATCGCTAGATAGTAAATACATTATTATTGTATAATGCTCATTAGTGACCTGTTGTGAGATAGATATCCCGAAGTTTTAATGGGAAGGGAAGCGGATACCAAATGAAAACCTTGAATGATAGTCGTGCTACATTGAAAATTGAGAGAAGCGGGGAACTTTGGACCAATGAACTTGGACCCAATGGCTGAATGGTTAGCGAGTTAGCTGGAAAACCTGAAGATCACGAATTCTAACCCCTAGCAAGGTCGTAGGTGGGTAGTGCTGAGGAGTCCCATACCAGGACGAAACAGAGGTTCAGTGCTCCTGGTTTTCCAGTGGTTCTCCAGCTGATTTCACCAGTGATGAACACTATCTTAAACTTAAAATCTTCATTAACCTCAAGGTAAGTAACGATTTTTCTCTTTTCATTTTATGCATGAAATGTTAGTACTTACATGCATCGATAAGTGTTTTATTAATCATATTTTTATACTCTTTCTGTGTATGACCATGTCTCAATATTTGTACTTCCAGTTTATAACCTGGTCGCATTCCAATCAAAGTGGCTACAGTACCAAATGCATGCGATTTAGGCAGAACACGATAAATTGTTTCCACAGCTGTCTAAAAATAAAGAAAATTATGTATTTGGAAGAAATACATTTATTACTATCACAACAACATGTGTTTTAATTTATTTATCAAATACGGTGAAGCGTGCTATTGATTGGTGTGTAAGATATGTGACAAATTCCACTAACGCAATTCGCCTAAGTGGTGCCGTTGAAGACCAGGATTGGTCTATCGGCTAACAATAGAGAGTGAGGTGGTTGAGGATGTTGACCACTTCACTTACTTGGGAAGTAAGATCAGCCCTGATGGGTCAGCGGCCGGTTAAATGTCTGCACGGATACAAAAGGCTCGACTGGCTTTCGCCAACTTATGCCACTTATAGCGCCGCCGTGATATCCGTTTGTCTATTAAGGGTGGCGTATACTGCACAGCAGTCCGCCCTGTTCTACTGTATGGCTGTGAAACATGGCCATTCAAGGTGGAAGACAAAAGAAGGCTCCAGGTGTTTGACCACTGTTGCCTTCCTAGTATAGGCCGTATTCAGTGGTGTCACCATGTGAGTAATGCAGAAGTCAGGAGTAGAGATTTAGGGAGGGAGAAGAGGTCAGCCAGTTGATGCTGTTGTGAATCTTTATCTACTGAGATGGTTGGGACACGTGTTACGTATGTCTAGTCGCCGATTGCCTCATCGCACAATGTTGGCTGAAGTAGGTCCAGGCTGGAAAAAGGCCCGAGATAGCCAGACTAAAACATGGCACCAATGTATGAAGTCTCTGACTGTTGGTTTGAGCCATGTGAGGTGATGCAGATTAGGTGGTTGGAGTCCGCGGGACAAGATGAACCAGTAGTTGGAGACTCTAGGAGATATGGCTGAGAACCGATGTCAGTGGTGCAGATGTATACATACATTATCCTCATCTTAACGACCCTATACTGAATCTCACCATTTTGTCATTCTTCGTTTCTCTCTTTTTGCACTTTATATTTCTTTTGACTGAATTCTCTTATCTTCATCTTGAGCCTCACTGCCTTTTTACTTGATGTACTGATATGAAGTGTTGCAACTTGGACCGTTACGCAGTAATGCTTGGTCCTAGGTTGATCTGGATGGATGGATGGACTAATTCGCTTAAGTATTGCATATGATCATTTAAAAGGGAATGGTTTGTATATTTTACACGATTACTTTTCATCGCTGGGATGAAAGATTAAATTTGTACACAGTATTTGTTGGTTAGTTGGAAGAAATCAGCAGGAAATCCAGCCTGTCTCAGTTTCCGTGCTTGTCAGCACTCGTCAGTAAAGTCTGTCTGTAAACTCGAAGAAATCGATGTCTTTTGAGATATTCAGACCTTCATCACCCAGTGTTTCAGCCACTGACGTCAATACTAAGGTATTCAGGTCGCACTTCGAACCAGACAACATAATAATAATAAACGTTTCATTCCAAACAATATATATGAGAGTATGGAATTCTCAGCATATAATTTTCCAAAAGTCACTACCAGACCAAATGGTTATTGTATCTGAGTAGTGTTAATAATAACAGTATTCAAGGCAATAATGTGAAATAGCCAGCTGATTTCGGATTGGCGTCTGGTCCGTAGTGAAGAATCAATCGAAACGCGAGCGTAAGTTTTGTGGTGGTGGTTCATTCAGCTAGTACAAAAATCTGCAGCTCAAGATAAGTAAGTATCCGAGGGATAGAAATATGAACTTTTGTGCACTGAGAAGTCCTCTGCCATATAAAGTAACATTTTTTCCCTATTCTGTTACTAACTCAAAGCCTATATTGCTTTCTTTCCAATGCTGGCTTTCACATCCTCATCTGTGCTGCTGTCACCGCCGCCTGTAGTTGAATCGATGCTACCTAGGTGGGTAGATAGATAGATAGGTAGGTAGGTGAAAGAGATAACATCCTTTAGATTTCTCCCGTTCATAGTGATTGGTGCTTGTTGTTGTTGTCGTTGTTGGTTGGGTGGTATCTTCATCACCTGTGTCTTCTCTACGTTCACCTGAAGAAGGTCCCATCTTCGCTGTCCTGCCTCTTCTGCTAAGTTGTTAGTTTTCGCCTTTAGATCTTCGAGTTTGTGCGACATTACACATAAGTCATTGGTGAAATCCAAATCTTCTAGGGTCATAACACTGTTTTTTTTAATTAGTTTGCCTTCTGCTGCTTCAATACACTTTTCTTTCAAATAAATTTAAAGAGGACTTCCTCTGGCCATAAATAAGTTAAAGCAGAACTACCAATAGTCTTACACTCACACATCATTATCGTTTATTCAGTAGATGATGAAGTTTGATGAGAGGATTTACATCAAGAATTGACCTCTTCTGCTGATCACTTTTGTGAATAGTCTACTTAAAGACTATTTATCATCTGACAATGATGCTTATCTACAGTAAATAGATGTCCAAATAGGGCCATGAGTACCGCATTCTCGATACTAGAAAAGGTTGGTATTGTTCACCGAAGACTTTTCCTGGATAGTTTCTAGCCTATTTCTAACCATCTTGATTGTTGAATGTATCTATTTTAAAAGAAAGACTCTGATATTCAGAACTATACACTTAACTATGGTCAAAAGATGTGATCAACTTCTTTTTCTGTTTTTTTTTTACACTAAAAATTAAATTTTTATCTAAAAAACAAAACACAACCTGTCTTACCCTTAATTCCTGTGCTAAATTGCGTTGTGGCTGAATTTCACTAAATATTCGTTGAGAAATTAAATCTGGCTTTCCTGATAACAGAATTATCAGCAACTCAGGGAGTGGGACTGAAATATGAAACGGAAAACAAACAAACAAAGTCTAGTCATTACGTGTTTGATGGGTGTAAATAACATGTGGTAAATTAATAATAAGTCAGTAAAGAAGCTGAAGGAGTTAAGAAATTGTATATTTTTGTTTTCAAAGTCTAAATATTCATGTGTTCACCTTTTCACTAATCAGACTACTTTTTCCCATCGAAATCATCCTAACTTAAGTTTTGAAATTATAGCTTGTAATTTCCCGTCGTTGATTGAACCGAATTGATCGGTCACCATTGGAATATGGGCCCGCTTACGATTGATTCTATCTAATCAATGCTGGGAAATTACAAAAGTTCCAAACTGTCTCATTCCCATCGCACAATCAGTCGCTTTTGTGACTCACTGGTCTACTGAGTAGCGCTCTGATATTTCAGGCTATTGGTATTACTTTCAAGTCTTATTGGGAACAATACTCACTGGAAGGCAGGTATATTCAGTCCTAAATAGGATAAATGGTGCAAGTTGTATTCCACTGCTAACCACTATCCATCAATAATATCCTTCTTAATGTTTTACAATCTAAAAATGATCCGTTAAATGATAATAACTAAAAGGGTAACGATAAACAATTAGCCACTTCAAACTAGTGACTTGCCAAGTGACCTAGAACAATCGACAAAAATCAAAAGATGTTGACCAATCACATCAGTGTAGGTTAAAAATTTGTGTTGATAAGAGCTCTTTCATGAACTTTTCAACAAGATATCGAAACAACATCGAACAAATTGCTACTGTATCAGGAAGTAGAACATGTATTCATTGCTTATTTCACCCTCTGCTCTTGTCACCAATACTGTTTAGTATAAATACGCTCAAAACAATTCAATATTGTCACCAAAAACCTGAGAGTTTTTCAGTATGAATGTATTTCGAAGATTAACTATTCATTGTTGATAAAGACTAGAAATAATACTCATACTCAGACCTCTATCCTGTGCTTATTTGATATTGTAAGACAATACAGGGATCTTTGCTTTATTATTTCCTAGTTCAAATGTGAATTGGTTTGCATCGATCATTATGAACATGAGTGTAAAACATTTATCGATAAGTTCTAACTGTATTTCTGTGTGTTACTAGGTAGTTGGTAGATAATCAGTAAGAAATCCTACTTTATGATGATGAGTCTTTCAGTTCAGTGATCACAGTATTAAAAAAGGTGACTGAAAGCATTCGATTGGTACTTAAGAGTAAATAACAATGAACTAATTACCCTTCAGTGAATAATCAATACAACTAAGATTGTGTAATTCACATCCATGATACTACTGTCAATAAAAGTCTTCACAGTTTCACTGATATCAAGACCTTTATCGTGTTATCATACAAAATAGAGATAAAAGTTCAATGCGATACACTAAACAAGGCAATGGTTCAAGAGTCACTGAAACTTATAAACTCAATTATCGACAAACTATGTTATATAACCTTATTGAAGCAACTAAATAAAACGACTTGGTTTATTAAGTTCCATGGTATGACCATGAGGTTAAGCTATCAGGTCAGGGTCAGATAGCATAGCAAAAATGTAGAATGGTTGATACTGGTAAGATTGTCTTAAAATCTAGAACAGAGCTCAGTTATAGTTATGGATGCTACCACACGCACACACAAAGTATTCAGTAGAACGGATATAAGCGAGATTCTGAATATCCAACTCAAGCTGAAGCTTATTCATTTGACCAACTACTTCTAGGCGTAATGAGAAATATTTCACACCAATCCCAGGAATTTGAAAAACTCCACTACTAATGAAAAAAAAATTAAGAATGAAAACAAACAATAGGAAGCACAGAAATCAGGTGATAAGTCTGTTGGATTCCCTTGACAAGATTATCAGAACTGAATTGAGCTTTTAACGTCATCCACTTAATTAATACTGTTTTAACTGATTAAATAAACTAGAATTAAATGTATATTCTAAGTGATCTGAACAGCAAACGAATATGCATATGCCTTATATCAGGTAGTAAGCCACACCATCCATATGAGGATTACTTATGATAAAACAAACAAGGAATGAAACCGTAACCTTAATAGAAATATTGGAATAAATACAGTATTCAGTACACTGTTAATTACCTTCTTCATGTTTTGCCTCTTGATAACTCCACATTGTCATGCAAAAATCGTCTGGATTAGGTCGTGGCTTGATAGCTAAAATATAAAGTTCAAAAAAAATTACATTACAATTAGATACACAGAATGTCAAAGTCAATACCTGGGTTTCTTAGCTCAGCCCACAGAGGTATACTTGGTAAATCGAAAGCTACTGGTTGAATTCCTGTCGTGGTCAAGGAAAGGAAGCGGCCAAATTCAAAGTCATCAACTAACAATGTAGAAATAATCGATTACAACCTTCGTGTGACTGTTACCGTATGGACGGAAAAACCTTATTCGACAATCTTATCCTTCAGCAGACCAGTGAAAATAAGTATCCAACATTTGACCTAGTGGTGGCTTCATTTTCTCAGGAAAAACTATGTATGAATACTGTGTTATTTGTCAAATAAAGTTGTCTTCCTTACAGTCACAGGTCGATCTTTGTCTTCTTATTTTCTCAGCTCAGTGAAGTATCAGGTTGTGAGGGAGAATAGTCGCTATCCGTATGCAGTTGAGGTGTCTTATTATCTTGGTAGTAGGTTTTTACTTCCTTGACAATCATCACTATATAACAATAACAGTAATCTCATAAACCGCAGCTACCTCAGATAGTCCTGTTAATTATATTATCATTATTATTATTATATACTGTGAGTGAGTGAGTGAGTGAGTGAGTTAGTAGTAGTAGTAGTAAGTATACAGTTCTGAGCTGTATAAACTAACGTGATACGATTTCAGTTTCTTCAATGTGAATTTCATAAAGTTCGCAACAAGGACGTAGTACATTATACATTTGTGTTCACAAAAACGAGAATCTGAGACTCCTACAGGTCAGAAATTATAAAGTCAAACTTATCCTGACTGCATAGCAACGTAGATCGAAATTTGTAGCTCAAAAATTTCTACCCATCGGTTAATGACATAAAATATTGATTTTCACTTTAGCCTTATCCTATCACCTTGGATGATTAGTACTTTTAGGCTAGAATCAACGTTTATCTACCTATTTATTTCGTGAATTACACTTCACGTTATTTGGTTGAGGATTATTTTCTATCGGTACTGTTATTTCATTCCTAATATAGTCTCATTGATATCGTGTCTCCATGGTATAGTGAATAACGCATTAGCGTTTGAAGCGATGAGTACAAGGGTTCGAGTTCCAGTGAGAACAATACTCCGCACTGTAGTGCAGGTACATCCAGTTGACGAGTCCCAAATAGAACGATACGCACGTCCTGGATTTCTTTGCTAGCCACAACCAATCAAATTACCATAACTAACATTCAAGTAATATCGAGGCATCCAGATAGGAGCCCATATGCCAATAGAGCTAGAACAATTCGATCGAATAAAACAACAGACTACCACAAACATATCAATAAATAGTAGTCATATCAATTATCAATAAAATGCTTTTCCTCGGTGGGGATTATGACAAAAAGAGACCTCGCTGAATAACCAGTATGATTAGGATGGATGGAACCGGTAATCTGCAGCAGGTTGGTTAGAATACTACTTCAACTTACGTTCACCTTCGGTCATTACAATAACAACAACATCTAAAACATGTTTGTCGCAAATTTTTATGACCACTGCTATTATTATTTCTCCCTTGAATTCCTAGTGGGACATAGGGCTTCAGTACCACGTCTCCAGTGCACTCTCTTCTCTGCAATCTTTTGTACCTGGTTCCACGACAGCCCAGAAGCTTTCATTTCTTCATCACACCATCTCCTCCATGTCACCCTCACCTCGAAAGCCCAACTCGTTGTTTCCCATCTGGGTTCCACTCGAGTGCCTGGCCTGGCGCGTGATGTCCCCGAATGGTCTTCTCACTGCCAGCCCAATCCATCTCCACTTCCTTCCACTGCATATTTGTTGAGCGATAGGTTCTTGGTTGGTTCGTCGGTAGAACAGATTTCCTTGTTGCTTATTATTTCTGGCCATCTGATCTCCATCTTGAGTATTGAGCGTGGGTAGTTGCTGATGAATATGTGTAGTTTGTTGGAAATGTATTTCGTAACGCGCCAAGTCTCTCAACTATCACATAGAAGCACTGACTTGACTTGACATTGGTGTTGAAAATCCGGATCTTGTTCTACATGCTGAGTGCAGGAGATCGCCACACTGGTTTCAGATTAGTGAACGCCCGTCCTGCTGTCTTTCTGATCCTGGCTGGCTTTGACGTCCTCGTCCGTGCCGCCGCCTGTAGTTGAAACGATGCTGCCTAGACAGGTGACAGAGGCTACTTCCTTTAAGTTTCTCCCATTGATGGTGATTACAGCTTGTTGTTGGTGGTGGTGGTGCCGGTTTTGTATCTTCATCACCTCTGTCTTCTCTACGTTAACTTTAAATCCCGTCTTCGTTGCCTCGCCTCTTCTGTCAACTTGTTGGATTTCGCCTGTAGATCTTCGAGTTTGTGTGACATTAGACACACAAGTCATCGGCGAAATCCAAATCTTCTAGGATGTTTTCTCAGGTCCAGCGTATGCCCCTCTTCTCGCTCCTCACTGTTTGTTGCATGATATAGTCCATAACAATCAGGAAGATTATGTGTGATAGTAGGCGCCCGGTTTGCCTTACCCCTGTCTTCACTTCAAAGGCATCACTGAGTTTCCCATTGTTAATTACTTGGTATGTGTTGTCGCACATATAATCTCATTAATAAGTAATTTATATTTCGGAATATTAGAACCTTTTGAATATTCAAACATGAAATAGTTACCACAATCAGTTTATATCAAATAATCTGAATATGAGAAAATATTTATAAAACCAGTTTATGTGATAAAATATTGAAATCATGATTACCTCTTTTTACTACTTGATTAACAATTGTAACTTTATCTTTAGCGACTTTCCATGTTTTTCTTGGTGAATCAGTCATTATCAATTCCAAGTTGTCCACTTTTGTTTCTGATGATTGAATATTTTCCCGTTCCTTTTTCTGTGTTAAATACTCGACTGAAAAGTTTAAAAAAGTAAAGTAATATACACATTAAAGTATTATAATGAGATCTTAAAAAATTTTTTGAAGTAAATAATACTCTTCATTATACAAATAAATACATACTTTTTGATTTCAGTACATTTCCTTTATCCATTGATAAATATCCTGGTCTATCCGTTTTATTCATTGGTATAAAATCGAATTGTACATCTTTATGGATACGTGCTGTATTATTGTTGTTCCAATTACTAGTTGATTTAGCAAAGAGAAATGGTATAGAAATTTTATGTGATGTTTCAGTAGAATTCAAGTCATCTTTTGTATGAATCAGTGGAAAATCTGGTTCAAGGGTTATTGTAATACTTTGTCGTTGTTGCCTGTTGGTATTACTGACAACTGGTGAAATGTTTGATTTACTTCTTCTTTGTAGTAACATATTTTCATAATCAAGTTTGATATCTTCACCTTCAACATCGTCATCATTGCAGGTCAGATCAACTGTATGTTTGGGTTGATTAAAACTGTCTATACCAAGTTGACTTTCATTTTTATCTTGGAGTAAAATAAAAAGACCAATAAGTGAGATTTCAGCTCTTTTTAATGTCAAAAGGCATAATAAAAGGTGTGGCAATCATTTATCATGTCTTAGTAGTGGATTACTAAGGAGAATATAGTAGAAGTAAATTGATACAATGAGGACAATTTATAATTCACAATGAAGATACTATTTGAGTGATCTATCTCAGTGATGCCTGTGAAGTGAATATAGGAGTAAGACAAGGTTGCCGCCTACTATCAACAATGATCTTAGTGATTGTAGTAGACTGGACTGGACTAGACTGGATCATGCAACAAACTATGAGGAGAGAGAAGAGGTGTATATGCTGTTTGATCAATGAAAAGACTCTAGAAGATTGGGATTTAGTCAATCATGATTTATGTCTAATGTCTAATCTCACACAAACTCGAAGATCTACAGGCGAAAACTAACGAGTTGGTAGAAAAGGCTAGATAAGGCGGCAAAGACGGCACTTCCTTCAGGTGAACATAGAGAAGACACAGGTGATCAAGATACCACCCAACCAACAACAATAACAACAACAAGCACCAATCACTATGAACGGGAGAAATCTAAAGGAAGTTGTCTATTTCACCTACCTACCTATCTATCTATCTACCCACCTAGGCAGCATCGATTCAACTACAGGAGGCGGTGACAGCAGCACAGATGAGGATGTGAAAGCCAGCATTGGAAAGACAGCAACATAGGCCTTCAAAAATCTGAAGTCAGTAAGGAGATCTACTGCACTGGACTGCACTGAGCATAAAGAGGAAGATCCGTATTTTCAACACTAACGTCAAGTCACGTAACGGTTCATAAACTTGGCGCGTTACGAAAAGAATTTCAAACAAACTACAGACGTAAATGAACAGCTACTGCCTACGCCCACTCGATACTGAAGGTCAGAAGAGAAAACGAGAAAAAATTAGCAAGGAGGAACTCTGGCTAGGAACAAACCAACGAAGCAAGAACCTATCGCCCAACAAATAAGCAGAAGAAAGTGGAGATGGATTGGATCATTTGGAGACATCACGCGCCAGGCACTCGAGTGACAGTCAAATGAGAAAAGACGAGTTGGGCATCCGAGGGTGACATGGGGGAGATTGTGTGAGGAAGAAGTATAAGCTTTTGGGCAGTCTTGAAGCCAGGTTCAAAAGACTGCAGAGAACAGAGTGCAATGGCGACGTGCTACTGAAGCCCTATGTTCCACCACGAACCTAAACGACAAATAATAACAATCATAATCTTAATCTGCAAAACCAGTTTTTCACTTCAGTCCATATGTTGCCTATTGATGGTTACACTTTCTCGCTCCTACCTATTCAAACTATCAGGTGTGTGAAGTGACTGAGTGAAAATGACTGACAGAATAATGCAAATACGAGAAATGCTACTAACACAATAAGACACCTCAACTGCACACGGATAGCGACTATTCTCCCTCACAACCTGATACTTCACTGAGCTGAGAAAATAAGAAGACAAAGATCGACCTGTGACTGTAAGGAAGACAACTTTATTTGACAAATAACACAGTATTCATACATAGTTTTTCTTGAGAAAATGAAGCCACCATTAGGTCAAATGTTGGATACTTATTTTCACTGGTCAGCTGAAGGATAAGATTGTCGAATAAGGTTTTTCCGTCCATACGGTAACAGTCACACGAAGGTTGTAATCGATTATTTCTACATTGGTAGTTGATGACTTTGAATGCTGATTTTGATGTAGTCCGTTTTCTATCAGTTTGTAATACTTATTGGTAATCAGTAATTTTACCATTTCTAATATGTTGCTGAATGTTATATTTTGACAAGTAATGAAGATTAATCACCGCAGAAGTTCCCTTTAGCCTATTATATTCTATTGGGCCAGTTTGGCCTTTGTTTTCTGTCAAAGTAGTATTCGTCACGGACTGACATTAGTTGGAAAATATGTGAAAACCTTAAGGCACTGGAAAACCATTCTGATCTTATTTGGCACTACTCCTCAGCAGTGCGCATGCACCAGTTTGAAAGGCTTCTAGCTCGTAACCATTAGCTTTCGTGATACGCATGTTACCATCCAGTGGTCCGTCACTGACTGACTGACTGACTGACAAAATCAAAATAGATCCTAGCACACAGGTGAATCAAGTCAACTTTCACCGATTTTACAGTAGTATTACAAGGAATATGTGGATAGGAAAAGGGTGATATCAAAGTAGGCGAAGAAAGAGAATAACCAATATAAAAATAACAGTTACTGTAAATGCTCAAGCTTTAAAGACGTTAAATACTCAAACTGTCTGCTTCATAGTGACCAATCTTCAGCTATGTCACCAAGAGTTCTCAAACACTGATTCCTATCGCTCGGGAACACCAAGCAGATGGTATACATCCACCTATACAACTAAGACCAATAGTAAGAGACTTCATAGATCCCAGCGATTTCTTGGTCTGGTCACTTTGAACCCTATCGCAACTCAATCCAACTACCCATAGCATAGCATAGTACATGTCCAAGTGATCATAGTCGATTGAGGTTCATAACTTCACCAATCGACTTGCCTGTTTTGTGTAGTACCCTTCGCCTGATGTCAACATTGTTCACCTGGTGATTCCTTTAAACGCCAGCAATCCAACAAACATATCCGTAATCAAAACTCGATGGTCCATATGTAATGTCAGTTCGTGATGAGCTCTACTTTAAAATCAATAATCCCTACAAACTGTCAGCTAAAAACACTTAGTTCATTATTTCTTAAACCATCTTTCTCGAATCCTTTGTACTCTTTGTTTAATCTTCTACAGAAGCGTATATTTCAATGTACTAAATCATTGCAACCACCACAATTTAATCTCTTTCTAGTGTGTTGTGCAATGATTTCATTCAGAAAACCTACAACATAACACAGAAAAATCAAATATACACAAAGTATGCGTAGAAACTACACTTTTAATTTTGTACATTTTCATCTCACCTTCAATCATCACCCAGTATAAATACCAGTCAGCCAAACTACGACTATCTCAGATAGTCAAATGGTATACTGTAAAAGTCAAATATGAACGAAGAATATTCTTTTCAATAACTCTTCATCAGGTTCTACAGCTATAAAATCAATTTCGTTAACATATTAACGGCCAGAATTTACGACGAATGCATTTAGGTAGCTAGTCCAATAGTTACTAACTGGTTCCAAGCCCGGAAAAAAGACAGAAGGTTGGGAAAAGGGCTGGCAACCCTACCCCATAAAACCAATCCAATCGCTAAAGAAACGTCAAGGTACAAAAAAAAACATGAACAATAAAAATAAACTTATTCCTCGCTGGAATCGGAGAGGCGAAATGATGCCAGTTGATGAAAGCTGTAGGGAAGTCAATTGGCCGATCTGTCTACTCTCCCTCTCTCTCTCTAAAACCGAAAGTAAGCATAGAGATATGGAATGTCCGAGCAACGTTTGAAGCTGGTCAGCTGGTAAGGCTGTCCAGATTGCAAAACAAGTGAGAAGATACACCATAGAAGTGATAGGAATCTACGAGGAATCTGCAGATGGAATGGAAGTGGACTCTCTCAACTGTCAACTGGAGAATCAATAATCTACTCTGATACTGTCACCCAGACGACAACTACGAGCACAATCAGGGAGTGGCTGTCATGATGTCCCCTTCAAGAGCATCGAAGGCTCTTATGCAGTGGGAACCAGTCTCCTCCTCCAGGATCCTGACAGCAACATTCAAATAAAAAGGAAGGAAAGTCACGATCAAAAGATGCTACGCTATGCTATGCACCTACAAATAATGCGGATCAAGAGAAGAAGGAGAAATTCTACAGACAACTGCAATGGGTACTGGACAAGACCCCATCCAAGTTGGCGACATCAAAATTCTAATAGGTGACATGAATGCCAAACTTGGAGCAAACAACACAGCAAGAGAACTCATCATGAGTCGAAAGGCACTTGGTGAAATGAATGAAAATGGAGGACTCTTTGAGGACTTCTGCGCATTTAACAATCTGATGATTGAAGGCAGTGCGTACAATCACAACGATGTTCACAAAGCGACATGGATCTCACCAGACACCGGGACACACTAAAAATCAGATGGACTTCATCTCAATATGAAAGAAGTGGAGACTCAGTCTACTGGACACAACATCAAGAAGACAAGCAGATGTAAGTTCACATCACTCACTATCTAGTGCAAGGAACCTACCTTCAAAATCAAGTTGAAGGCCTTTAAAGAAGTTGGTGATAGACCACAGTTCAAGTTCAACACCCAGAACACAAACTGAAGGACGAAATTACAAAGGACATCTTCACGTCAGTCAGCCATCACGACAAAATGGGAGATATTGAGCAACATCCCTGAAGAAACCTGAGTGGAAGAACACTGAAACTGTTTAAGAGCTATGTGGAAAGAAACCTGCATAACAGTGTTAGGAAGGAAGGAAGAAGACAAGGACAAGAAATGGAATGGAATGGATCTCGACGGACACATGGAAGCTGATAGAAGGGAGGAAGATGGTGAAGCAGAAGATGAACCATTGCAGTGCAGTCCAGGGATAAACAACGAAAAGAGGAACTGAAGACAACATATAAAACACTGGACTAAGAAGTGAAGAGGAGTGGGCGCAAAGACAAGAGACACTTCTATGACACAATTACAAATGAAGCAGAACAGGTTGCAGGTAGGAGAGACCTGACAACATTATATCAAATAACCAGGTTACTATCTGGAAGAGATCAACTTAGTCGAAACCAATCAAAGACAGCGAGGGAAAGCTAGTTATCAAAGAGGAGGAAAAAAGGAAACAATGGGCAGTACACTTCAAAAAAGCTCATGAATCGACCACCACCACCTGCAACTCGTCCAGATATACCACCAGCGAGCCAGCCAGAGAACTACCAGTGGACATAAAAGTTACTGAAAGTCAAGAAAGCAACACGACCAGATGCAATTCATCCAGAACCACTGAAAACAGACGTAGAAACATCAGCAGCGGACATACATCACGATTGCACAAGGTTTGGAAGGAAAGAAGGAAAGGTACCTGCCGATTGGTAGAAGGGCTACCTAGTCAAACTCCTAAAAAAGGGCAACATAAGTCTTTGCAGGAACTGGCGAGGAATCATGCTTCTGTCCACACCAAGCTATTTATTAAGCTGCATCATCCTGGAGAGACTAAAAGATGCTTTGCATTCAAAATTACCACCGGAACAGGCTGGGCTGGCTTCACGAAAAACAAATCATGCGCCGATCAAATCCCAATGCAACGCTACGCATCATCATAGAACACAGCATAAAATGCCAGTCAACTCTCGACCTCAACTTCATCCACTTTGAAAAGGCCTTCGACAGCGTCGATCGAGAAGTAATTTGGAAACTGCTTCAACATTACGCTTTTAGTGCCACAAACCTTTATCAACCTCACTCAGCAGCTAACTATATGCCATATGATGCTACACGTGAAGTGACTCACAATGGAAAGCTCAATGACGCCTTTGAAGTGAAGACAGGTTGACAGGTAAAACAAGGCTGCTTACTACCACCTATCATCTTCCTGATTGTGGTCAACTCGACTCGAATGGACTAAATCATGCGTCTGATCACCAATCAATTGACAAATGCATTCGCCGTAAATTCTAGCTACTAATACGTTTATCGTTTGACTATATGGGACAGCCCTAGTTTGGCAGACTAGTATTTATTCTGGGTGATGATTGTAGGTGGCATGAGAATTTAGACCATGGCCGGATTCGAACCAGCGACGCAAAGCTGACCCAATGCTCTACCAACTGAGCTACATAGGTCATCAAGGTAAAGCATCAGGTCGGAAATTAGGTGGTCGCTGGTTCAAATCCGGCCGTAGTCTAAATTCTCATTCCACCTTCAATCATCACCCAGTATTCATAAGTTAGTAAATTTGAATTTATAACTGTAGACACCTGATGAGATGTTATTGAAAAGAATATTCTTTGTCTATATTTAACATTTAATATATAAAAAGGGAACTTTTAATTGTCTGAAATCTTAAAAAAATATAACGGTGCTTTGAAAGTCATTGAGTACAAACAAACCTTTTACTGATGTTTCGTTACTATGATTCAGTATAAAATCATTGTTGATATTCAGTGGACGAGTAATAAGTGATTGTTCTACAATTAGAAACATAATAATAATAAAAACACTTTATTCACAAAGAAGTTGATATCATACACAAAAGTGTACCATATTACCTTTTGTGTTGGTATCTGACAGTATTCTAGTGTTGATTACAAATTTCAAAATGGCTAATCATTCAATTTTGAGAGAGTTGAAAGCAAAATGTAAACATACTCCTTTACACTCAATAACTGGCCATTCAGGTGGAGATCAGGTAAAGGGTAAAGTACAATGTTATAAATATCTATCATAGTCAATTTAGTTAACTTCCATTGTCAAGCCGTGGTGCACTAATGACAATGTGTACATAGCACAACGTTAAGATATTTATTAACCAAAAGTAGTCGAACTACTGAATAAGTAATACTCCATTTAAACGTTTATTTCTGAGTGAGGATAAACAAGCTATTCCAGATTGACCACCTTGTCGACTAAACTCACTGTGTTATGCAGTAAATAAGTCAAGACACCATCTATCTCAATTTGTACTACTGTTTACAAAGGAATAAAAGTTAAAGAAAAGCCTACAACAGTAATACATGAAGTAACGATTAGCTAAGAACTTTGAACTTAAGAACTTCAAGTAATAGAAATCAATAATTTGAGATCCAAGGTGATACAGTCGAAAATTACCTGTTATATGAGGCAGTTTGTTCACAGATTCTGAAGAGCATTTCACTGGTGTATTAAAAGATAAACTATGCTGGATGCCAATCGTTGAGATTTCTTCAAATTCACTACCATCGTGATCAATATCATCTGGATAATTTTCACCAAGTTTCTGGTGTTGTTCATTATCTTCATGAATATTATTATTACTATTGGTTTCAATGTCAACTTCTTCAGAATATTTTGGTTTTGAAATAATTGGAGGTAGGTTAATTATAGACTCTGATGTTGGAAAATCTGTATCTGATTTAAAACGCTTCCCACGCACATGAACTTCATTTGGACTGGTGACAGACGTTTTCTTTGAATTCATCCTAAATATCGATGAAAAGGTTTATTGAAGCTCGTTATGTTTATCAGTGATATACTAATGATACAATGAAAGTTGTATCAAATAATATAACACTGACCATTTACACCGATAAGTAGTGCTCACTGATCATCACCGTTTCGTTTGTTCAGAGCACAGCATATCAGAGATAAACTCAGATTCATGGAACTTTAATGGTTGAATTATTTAAACCACTTTAGCGAATTGATCAGGTGATTTTGCAAAATATACAATTCATGGTGGGAAATTTCACCATCCTTGTTACCCATGCAAGTTGAAATTTTTCACTGTCTTATGTTTATAGGGGTAACTTTAAAGGTCAACCTTGCAACTATTGAGATAGCCAATTACGTTCCTTTTCCAGGCGAAATACGGCAGCCTGATTGGCCATTTCAGTACTTGCTAAGGTGGTCCTTAAAATCACTCGATTATAGATATAAAATATCATGTATCGTGAGCCTTCATGTCAGACTTATATAAAACATTTGTCGAAAATATACCGACGGCTTGATTGATATTTACACTCGATAATGACTGGAGGTAAGATGAAAATTTGCGCAGTAGGGGGATTTCAACCAGTGATCACCAGGTTTCCGAACCAGTGCTCTCCACACTGAGTTGTGAGACCCAAATTCCGAGTAGTTAAGCGAAGGCTAAAGAAAGCCAATAAAACAACTTATTATGCAGCTAAGCTAGTACTTCTGAGTACCACCAGACGGCTGCTGCAGCAATCAGGAAAAGAGACAACTTCAATCCTCGACATATCTAACTGCATATACTAATTCGAATGTACACTTGGAAGCAAATACATATGTCGTACGGAACATTTACCTAAACGATTGTGGCAAGTCGACTTCAAAATCCCGCACAGTTCCGCTAAAAAACACTTCATGAATTATCCACATGATGTTGACACTACTAAGGCCTACTCGGTTGTCGATATACACCGGAATAAGAAAATGCCTGCAATCGTGGAAGCATCTGCCATTAGAGTTAGTAAACCAAACCTATGTGTACACAAAGAGATAGTAGTTACCCTGAAGCCACCATGGTGTCCAAGTATGTTGAACGCATTCCTTTCTAAAACAATTAGTTCTCTTTATAAACTTCGACGAAACAATAAGAAGACATGAATTGTCTCAACCGTGTAATGTATTTGCGCATCACATTTTGAACTATCTGATCACACACGTACTTGTCACAGATATTCATATAAAAACAATTATCCTAAAACTTTACCCATCGCACAAGAAGTGGCTACAGTGGCTCGGTGGTGAAGTGGATTACGCCCTGGCGTTTAAAGCGATCGCCCCAAAGTTCAAATCCCGGTGAGAACAACATCACCCACTGGGAAGCAGCTACATTCAGCTGATGAGTCCGAAATAGGACGAAATGTGCATTCTGGATTCCACTGCCAGCCACCATCCATCATTTATATATATGTATATAGAAATTCATGAAGATCAGGGGTGAGAAAATAAAAAGAGGTCAGGTAGGAAGGCTGAATTAAAGGCCAATAACAATCAAAATCAATAGAGCGAAAAATAATAATACATCGAACCTGGTTTTCAATACTTGAATTTACCAGGGAAGATTTAATGTGACAACAAATTGTTTATGAACACACAAAGTGGTTTCAACTTTCTAATGACTAAGGCCTCAACAAATGTAAGGATCACTCTACAACATGTTTTGTAAATAGGTAGGTGTAGAGGAAGTAGCCACATCAATACGGTGACCTGTCTCAACGATATATTTTTGGCGATCGGAGGACTTCAACGTTTGCTACCAACATTTATGGGTTCAGGTGATTTAATTTGCTTCTGAAGCCACTTTAGAATATGTTCCGAGGCCCTCACTTGCATGGATCTATGAGTCCTCCCTATGTATGTGTAGCCATATGTACATTTCAATTGGTAGATACAATGGGATGTCATATTGTCGTAAACATGCTGTGGAGGTTTAGGGAAATATACAGGCTTCGTAGTTTCTGTTAATCGAAACTTGGGTGCATAGTAAATCCATCTAACAGCAGCGTTAAGTCTCTGCTTAAGGATTGTACCATGAGAGTCACCTTTGTACGCAAGACTGATAAGGACATCCTTGTTTGGAACAAACTGCAGATCTGGTTCCAGCACTCTGATAATTTTGTTCTGCTCATAAATGTTCATGGATAGTCATTTTCCAACAGAATATCAGTCAGTGTTCCTCTTTCATCTTCTAAAGTATCCTCTGTGCATATTTCTTGAATTCTACTGAATAATCACCTCACTAACGTTCGCTTTTACTGAACTGAGCAAACGTTATGGTAATTCAAATATTACCCTGTCCATGTAGGTTTTCTGTAGGCAGATTGACTTATGGATCCATCCTACCTTCGACTAATTAATATATCCAAGAACAACAAGCAGTCATCTTCCTCTCTTCCACACATGTCAAGGATATGCTGTTCTGTACGTCGTTCAATCGGTCTAGAATTAAAGTAGACTGATTCCAGTTTTCACAAATAATCAGGATATCGTCAACATATCTTCGATACAGATGGGTTTGCCCTATCAGGTTCTTGGCTATATTTCCCACGTGTGACATGTCTATGTCAGCTAGGAGGGGACCTAAAGGACTTCCCATAGCAACACCATCAACCTGGTGGAAATGTTCATCCTCAAAGGTGGATTTAATATTGCTTGATCATAAAAGTAACAACTCTTTTAGATGATCCAAAGAAATGCGTATCGGAAAGTTATACACAGAAATGTAATCACATAAAATGTCAACTGTCTTGACCAAAGGGACATTAGTAAGTAATGAGTTAACGTCAAATGAACATATAAATTTACTCTTTATGTTGACATCCTCAAGGCATCTGATTACTTCAAATGTATCTTTTCAAGGAATACTTACACAATTGCTTCTTAACGGGATCAAATAATTCCACTAGGCACTGGGCAAACTTATGCCCTGGCGACTTATACATTAACATTATGGGATATAAGGGGCTGTTGCGTATGTCTACCTTGGGCAAACTGTAAAGATGTGGGAATTGGGATTCAGTTGGTTGCAGTAGGGCGAATCTTTGTTTAGTGATGACGTTCATATCGAGCAGTTTCACTACATTAGCGGTCACAGTTCCCTGTAACAATTGTACATCTTCTGAAGAACAATCTTTAGTGAATTTATTTTCATCTTCAAAAACCGATGACCTTTTACACTTATATTCGATTTCATCCATGATCACGACACCTGAGCCTTTGTCAGGCCTGAGATACTAATATCAGCCTTGTCTCGTAGTTCTTTCATACCTCTGAAATGTTCTGAAGTTAGAATACTTTTCTGGTTCTCATGGCTATCACAAAACTGGTGGGCGATATCCACTATCTTGACTTTCAGCCATCCCTGATCCTTAATTGGAGTTGGGATGAGAGATTTCAACTGGTTGTATAGGTTTTCAAACTGTTCATGGATAGCCAAGTCTGATGACTACTTTCGAGGAACACAAAATTTAAGTCCAAGGGATAGGGCTTCCTTATGATAGATGGACAGTGTCACTGTAGAAAGGTTAGTAAAGTACTTACCCAGACTAACCGGGAAATGGTTAATATGATTTTTACTGTTGAATGAATTACTTGGCTTCCGATACATATTGGCTTTTGTTTTAAAAATGACATTATTACAAAATTGTAGGGAATTTTAAACAACATAATACTGATATGTCCGATAGAATATTTGATACATTTATGTGGAGTAAAAGGATATCATGCAACTTATTCTGCCCATTTACAATATGTGACTTTGTAAGATGCATTAGATTAGAGATGTTTGGTTGTCGTTTATTAGATTTCAAACTGTCTGGGAAACATATGACTTGAAATACATGAATGGTAAAATTCAATTCACTCGCATTAAGAGGTAATTTTGCACATAATGTTAACAAGTTCATTTAACCTTTCCATTTAAAAAAAGACTACCATCTTGGATAAAATATCTAAACCTTATTGGTTATTTCAGCAGTTGCTAAGGTGGTCTTTAGAGTAATTCCTTTGAGGTTCCGGTCCTAAGCCCGGATGAAGAGGGAAGGTTGGGCATATGACTAGAAACCATACCCCCACCCCGTAAAACCAATCTAAGAAACTTCAAAGCACAAAGGAACCATAAAAAATAAAAACAAATTTATTCCTTGCTGGAATCGGAAAGACGAAACGACACCAGTTGGCGAAAGCCTCCGGGAAGCCAGTCGGTTGATGTGTATTCTCTCGATGAAAGCCAAAGTAAACATGGGGACATGGAATGTTCACACCATCTATGAATCTAACAAGGCTGTCCAGATTGTAAAAGAGATGAGGAGGTATGGCATGGAAATGCTTGGAATCTGCGAAAGCAGGTGAAATGGAAAAAGACTCTTCAAACTCTTAACTGGAGAGTCAATAATCTACTCCGGTCATCCAGACAACAATGGGAAACAGCAAGTTATAATATCAAACCATAGCCGCTACCTAAGCAGTGTCTATCGTATCAGTAATCTAGAAGATAAAACTCTGATTTTTAAAGCAATGGGAGTTGATGTCAACTTTCATGAGAACATGAAAAATGTTGGACGTGTAAGTTCAGCCGACAGGTCCCAAATAATAGGACGAATGCATATCATGGAATCCAGGGTTAGATGATACTCTTCTTTAACACAAAAATATCAATCTAATCACAAATTTCAATAGAAAAAATTACTCTTCGACGATTTCACCTTCAACAGCCGTACAGTCGTAAGATAATAATATTACTAAACAACTTGAGTAGTAAGAAAGGACTGAAGCTGATCTACAGTATTTTGCCAGCCAAATCAGAATGGTCTAATCACTGGATAGCCATTTCACTCGTCTGCAGCCAGACTCATCAGCGGTGTACCTGAAAAAATTCAGCTCACAGAGCCGAATTAGTTCAGATCTCCTAAATCTGGTTAACTAACTTGGATGGACCGGTATACCTAAAAAATGATAATCAATATGCAGATGACTTACAAATTACCTAGTCCACGTTGACATCTCTAACAGCTGAACAATTTTTCAACTGCCTAACTGAGGTGTCAATAAGATTCCCACTGGAAGCCACTCAGCAGAGATCACAATGTGTAATCTCTAAACTAGCAAAAGATACTTACCATTGAACCATGCAGGTTGATCTATAGTACGTGTACGTTTCCTTTTTGCTGTAGTGACATACGTGAGGATAATATTTCATAAATAATCAAATTACCCCAAAAAATTAAGGTTAAATCCCTAAGAAAAGTGACAAGTGAGTGAATGAATATGGTGTGATTTCACATTAAAAGTAGTTGGGGGAAACAACAAATGAGAATATCAGTCAGACAGAACATGATATGATAATAGGGATCCAGAGACGTGAAAATTTTGTGACTGAATGAAATGGATTGAAACAGAATGGAATGAAACAAAAATCAGAGCTAGACATAAGAATCATGAGGTCAAAATGCTTAACTAGGTCCAAAGTGTTGAAAGGGATCGTATAAACTGTTTCTCTACATCTGGAAAAACAAATTTAATGTTTAATGTTTATCTAGTAATCCATGTGAACACAAGAGTGCTTCTAGTCAAAGACGATATGTTACGTGTTTTTCACACCATACATTTGTGCTTTCAGTTTTATGCTACTTACTAATAAAAAGCAGTATTAATCGTATTCTTTTCATTTTGCTAACTTCGTTTGTTGCGTAGGGAGATATATTCCAACCATATTTTGTTTTTCATTTCACTGACTTTATCCATCTTTTTCGCTCTTGTTTTTTTAATCTCAGTTCCTCTGGCGGGTGTGTATGTTTCATAATTAGTCATAGTTTAATAGTTGACATAGTTTTGCTTTAGATACACCTTTGCCTTTGACAGTGTGATAAACACCACCTAGATGCCTGACGATTTAGTAGTGAATAAATATTACAGTACCGTATTCCCGACAAATGTCACTTCCTTGATCCCAGGGTTTTATGCTTCACTGGTATGCTCTTAAACGAAATCTATAGTCAATAGGTATAAATCTTCCACTTCTAATTGTAGGCTAGCTATTAATCACAAAGGTATTGGAAGTCGCCATTACCAGTCTATGGTCTGATGAGTTTTCGGGGAATTTATTTGGTATACATGTACAGAGATACTCAAAATAATTTACCCATTTAGAATTAAAACTCATTTGTATGGCTAGTCACTTGTTCAGTTATTGGTGGAAGTGTTAAAATCCAACCTGCTTAAGGTATAATATATCAGTGATCAATACAAAACAAAACCAACGAAGTCATCATCCAATGTCTAAATCAGTCCTGTTATTAATTGAGTTGGATAGGAACAACCTTGTCTTGCTTTATGATTTAACAGGTACTATTGCAACCTACCTTGAGAAAAATTAAATCTAATCCTGTTTCAAAGCCTACAGAGTATTACTATTTTGGATGTTGGATGCTAAATCATACAGACTTTTGAAACATCAATAGTAGATGAAGAAATCATAAGGGAAAATAATTTCGGATTGAAGTGTACTTCTGTTAAGTAAGAAAAAAGAAGTTAACTGATAGTGCCGTGAAACTACGTTCACTAAGATAGTTGGAAAACGTGTCACATACAGCCAATCATACCGACTAAACAGAGGATAAATATTGGAAGGAGTAGGAAACAGGCTTAAAATAACTCGATGAAGGTAGAATCATAACACATAAAGCATTTGATTGCTGGATTATGTTGAAAACTGTAAGCTACGAGAATAAGGCTGTCAAGATGTTTGAAATCAGTGGTTGAAGACAATATGAAATTATGCAAAATCAAATGAAGTGGCATAAATGGATAGAAATCATATGAACGGTTGGCTTTTGTTCAACTAACAGCTTATGATTTATCGATGGCGTGGATTTCAGTTCGAAAAAGGAATTCAATATGCAACATTCGTCAGCCAAGGTGCATCAAAGCCTACTAGCCAATAGCCGAGTTATAAAATTCGATTACAGTATATAAATTTTCTTGTTCTATGTTATTGAAAGTTGTAGAGATTCTAAATAGTTTTCTTACAATACTTTGTGCCGTTTCACTTGGTAATTTATACGCATAAGTAAAATCCCTATCACTTAAGGGATCACGCTAGTTAAATCTGTTAACTGATGGATATGATAGAACCTTATTCTCTTGCACTTTAGCATAGTTGATTTGTTTTAATTGACCAAACAACCAGAAAAAGCAACAAAATGTGCTGAAGACGGTTACCATAAGAGTAACGTAGTCCCAAAATAAGATATACCCGATCATTTAGGCTAGTTAGCATAATTCAGTGTCTATGAGGAAAACAGTATTCAAGTGGTACACTTCAAGATGAATTTTGCTCTCTAGCACTCTTCTTATCGAACAACCAGTGGAATGAAGAAAAGGTTTAGCTCAGGTAGATGTTGCTATAGCTATAGCGTATTATGATTTGGATGTCCATCTGGAATTCAGTATTGCTTATGTATGACATGCTTACAACAAAAGCTTTGTGAATGAATCATGCAACTCAGAAACTGTAATAACATTGAAATATATTTGTGTTCCTGCTTGTATTGTCCGAATCCTGGTGGAAACAACAACACTCACTGGGAGCCAGCCACACCCAGCTGATGAGTCCCAAACAGGACGAAACGCGCGTGCTGGATTCCACTGCTAGCCACTACCCATCAACAATATATTTAAAACATATTTATTAGCAGACAACCGGTTATTCAATTTAATAGCTTACTTACTCCATTTTATGATCTCATTTGTGTAGCTAACTGTTGTTCATTGTCTATATTATGACATATAACTGTATTCTAGATTACTCTCAAGTCACTGACTCACTTATTCTCCGTGTTCCCTCTTTCTCTTCGAAATTCGTGTGCTTGTTAGATGGATTATTTTCTTCAAGCATAGTTACAATTTTTCCCAAACCATCTTTACAGTCAGTCATTTGCAGGCTTCATAAAACCTGCGGATGGTTTAATGTGATTAATTAATAAGCACTACAATATTAATGTATTCCACAATTCATGATCAATCCTGTTACGAAACAATGCTATGAGACATCGGTATGATTTGAATATTAACACCTTTATACTACTTATTTGTTATTAAGTAGGCTAACGAAGCAAAAGCAATTTCTTACCCACTTACTTGGATTTTCGTTTAATACTAGGCAGTGTTTTAGTTCTTGATAACAACGGTGCTACATTCGAAGGTGAAACATTCAATTCCAATGATTTCAATGTAAAATATCTTTTATTTGGTAGGCAAGTTTCATTCCATCCTTTAATTGCACCAACTGAAGTATTTTCTGTTTGTACATTTTGATTGGAATGTATCTCTTCAAAATGAGTATTATGCTCCAGAAGTATATCATTCATGTCAACATTTTCACTTAAAAATACATCATCTTCAAGTAATGGTGACTGTTTGGTAACACCTAGATTATTCTACACGTTGGAAGGAGCAATAATTGAGTAGAAAGTTATTTTTAGACTAAACATTAATAACTACAAGTTTAGGCCACACTTTTATGCCCACTGCTTTAAAATGAATGACATTTAACACAATTGAGTAAAATCAAAGGATGGAATGAAAGTTATCTGGATATTTATGGAGGGTGGATTTATTTTAAAGTATCTATCAGACATCAGTATAAGTCAGAGAACCATCGAAAAAACATTGAACAGTTGTTTCATGTAAACTTGAGACTTCTCAGTAGTATCTATGCTGCTACGTACAGTCACAGCCAAGACGGTCAAGTCTCACAGCGAATACGTTATCATTTACCCATCGAGGTGTCATCAATTGGTTTGCATTTTTTAAATCACTTCCAATTCACTAAATAGCACAGTCATCATCCTGTGTCATTAATGAGTGACCACCTTCATAGACAATTTAATACCATCCTTACAACAAACATTGACTGTTCTGGGTTCTGGTTACTACATACTGCTGAAGGGTACCAGATCGAGCAGAAGCAGTTTTTCAGTGATTCTTCAGCTCCAGTGAATATCTGAATGATATCAATCCAAGACGAGTAATTTTAAAATTGTGTATCTGATATGTGTGAATAAGATGTGTTAGTTGACGTAGTATCCTCTGGGTGCTGAGATATTGCTCGCAGTTGTATTCTAGTCTGTTGTTTTTATCAGACAGTTTTTTCATCAACAAACCTAATGTGATACTAATTAAGCTGCTGGAAGTGTAGATTACCGTGCAGAAAGTAACAACGTTAAATGCTCTTCAGCTCAAGAGATTATTATTATCATTATTTTTCCCTTGGGTTCCTAGTGAGAACATAAGGCTTCAGTAGCACGCCTCTATTCCACTCCCTTCTTCGCAGTCTTTTCAACCTGGCAACACGATTGCCCACAAACTTTCATTTCCTCCGCACATCATCTCCTTCATGTCACCCTCAGCTGGGACGCCCAACTCGTAGTTTTCCCTTCGGGTTCCACTCGACGGCCTGGACTGGCACGTGATGTCCCCAGTCGCCCTTCTCAGTGTATGCCCAATCCATCTTCATTTTCTTCTTATGCATATTTCTTGAGCGACAGGTTGTTGTTCAGTTGGTTTGTTCCCAGAGTTCCTCCTCCTCGCTTGTTCTTTCTGGCCATCTGATCTTCAGTATCCAGCCAGCGTAGGCAGCTGTTTGTAGTTTGTTGGAAATGCTTTTCGTGACACTCCAAGTTTCAGAACCATATAGAAGCACTGACTTGATATTGGTGTTCAAAATGCAGATCTTGTTCATTCTTTGTGCTGAGTGCAGTAGATCTCCACAATGATTTCAGATTAGTGAAAACCTGTCTTACTTTTCTGATCCTAGTTTTGACATCCTCGTCTGTGCCTGTGCCGCCTGTAGTTGAAACGATGCCTGCCTAGGTAGGCAGGGTAGGTAGGTAGGTGAAAGAGACTACTTCTTTTGTGTTTCTTCCGTTAATGGTGATTGGTGCCTCTTGTTGTTAATGCTGTCGTTGGTTGGGTATCTTCATCACCTTCGTCTTCACTACATTCATTTGAAGTCCCGTTTTCGCTGCCTCTTCTGCCAACTTGTTAGTTTTCGACATTAAACATAAATTATCATTGGCGAAATCTATATCTTCTAATGTCTTTTCATCGGTCAAACAGCGTATGCCCATCATCTCGATCCTCACGGTTTGCTGCATGATCCAGTATACCACAATCAAGAAGATCATCGGTGATAGTAGGCGGCACCCTTGTCTTACTCTTGTCTCAAGAGAAGCACTGATAAAACCTAGACTCAAATCAGTAAATTAACAAATTAAAGTTTAAAACGATACCATCTTGTTAGTAAAAATTACTGTTGGTAATTAGCTTGACTTTTGAGTACTATATTCGGTTACTATTTGCACATGTTTATCAATTAAGTAAGGTTGAAGAGGGAAATTATCTTGTCTGTTTTCGTAATCAACAGGTTATTGAATTGATAAGCATACTTATAAACATATCTAAGTCGAAAGACTAATTGATGCTGCTTATTTCAAGACTTTAACAATTGACAGTCAACGACAAGGTCTAAAAGTAACTTTACAGAAGGCTAAGCTATCTCATCGACTTACGGCCAGCACAATAACTGATCAATCATTTATCAAGGCATGGTAATGAGTGTCTTAGCTTGAAGTTTTTATCAGGGCAACAGTTTAACATGTTTAACATTGTAATTATAGCATCACATATGGTGTATTGTAATGTGAAGTCAATTAGTCTAGAGAAAAGCTTTATTTATAGGATTTATCTATCAGTAGGAATTGAACAATATAACCCTGTATTTGTACTGGGTGATGATTGAAGGTGAGATGGAAATCTGGACTGCAGCCGGATCCGAACCAGCGACCACCGGGTTACCGGCCCGGTGCTCTACCAACTGAGGTATGAGGTCACCTTCAATCATCACCCAGTATAAATACTAGTCTGCCTAACTACGACTATCTCAGATAGTCAAATGATAACCAATATGATGCTCCCCCTCTCATTCTTATTCAGTTAGATTTCAGTTGGAATGAGAAGTCCTGACTAGGCAGCCAGTGTGAACAAGATCAAGCAGTAGTAACGCGTCACGAATTCACATGGTTGTCGGGCAAATGAATCCATGGAGATGAAAATGAAATAAAAATCTGGTCAGTAATTGGAGCTCGTAGCTCACTTGATAGTACAGCGTGCCGGTAACCTGATGGTCGCCGGTTCGAATCCGGCCGCGGTCCAGATTCCCATCTCACCTTCAACCATCATCCAGTATAAATACCAGTCTGGCAAACCACGGCTGCTATCGCAGATAGTCAATGTAACCCTGACTAATTATTATTATTATTCAAACACCAATATAGAAACGATAAGTTTAAATACTGTGTATTACTAGACCAAATGTATCACAAGCTGGAAATCCAAGTCAAGAGCCAGTTATATAGATTGTAAAATCTGATGGGCTTTTAAGTAAGTATAGGAGGAAACTTGAGTGCTGATGAGTTGTGAGGGCGGTTGACACTTCCCGGCTGCCCACACCATGGAAGGCTATTTCTTCTGAAGGTACCTGAAAGAGATTTGTGTGACCACAGAGCCCATCGGACATCTGCTTGAAGCCTGTCACACGTAGCCTTTTGAGTATGATTGTTTTGGACTTTTGTATATTTGGGGCAGGATGGTCGAAAGGAAACGACAAATGAATCAACAACACCAGCCCGGCAGACCGTGGGGCATGGTGGAGTGTGTTATTTTTGAGGCCGACCTTTTCACGCCCCTCCCCCCTTCCACTGAGAAGGCAGCATCAGCATGGCACTGCTGGTCATCCAAGGGAAACACCTTACTGCTGTCACACCCCATCCAGCCAGCAGCAGTACGACTTCGCCCTCAGACCCCCATCATAGTGTAGCAATTTACACTATAACGGTAACTGCTTTTCATCTAACCACTATCCAACAGACCTTTCTGGTATGGTAGGATCTCGAGGGAACAAGCGTTCCAACGGCATAGCTCGATGGGTCATCGTGATATGCAAGCCTGACTACCACATGAAGGTAGCAGCTATCTGCTCAGATACATTTTGTTTATAAAACGTCAAGAATACCTGAGTTAAAAATCAGTTTAAATATTTGTAGGTTACTCGATGAAATGGCTTTTAGATTACAATTATTAAGCAGATACTTTGAATCATAAAACAGTATCAATGTAGAATCTATTGGAATTTATTAAGGGTTGAACAATTATTATAATTTTACTGTTTTCATACTTGTGATTTCCCGTTACTATATCGGGCTGAATCGATCGACCTCCGTTGACACATGGGCTCCTCCTCTACGCATGCCTCGATGCTGCTGGATAACCATGATGTTATATTAATCTTGGTGACTAGCAGTGGACGCATGTTTCATAATATGAATATGACGTCATAAATACTTGGCAGTATCAAGACATTTGCATAGAAACCCATCTGCAAACAAACGTCAAGAAATTTAGCCCTGTATAGGAAAGGGAAATCATATATTTATCATAATAACAACTGATAGCCCCATTGCACATGACATGGCTATCGTAACACAGTGGGAAAGGCTTTGGCTTTGAAGCGGTGCCTACTGAATTTCGGTCTCCATGGAAATATCATCACTCACTGGGTGCACGCACATCCAGCTCATGAGTCTCAATTACGACAAAAGGTGCGTCCTGGATTCCATAGCTAGTCACCAAAATGAATGTTATGACTTCAGTTAACTATAGCATGTTATTCCTTGCCTTCTGATAGAAATGAAACCAGAAATTGTAGAATTTTCAAAGACATTGCATTTATCCCCAAGTGCGAGATATGACGTCCGTTTAAATAAGTCATAAAACCAAGAATTTCTAGGTAGTGTTCATCATGAACTGAAATTACTTGGCTCACCGTTGAAAAGATAGGAGCACACAACGGCTGTTTCATCGTAGCATGAGACCCTTCGGCCACACAACCTACGATTCCGACACGAATCAAACACAGAACCATTAGGTCTCCCTGCATGCACGTTACCGTTTAACAACTACATCAAAATCTAATAGTCGACATTTCCTTCGGTTATTGATCTACGACGTAGTGTGACCACAAACCAATGCCACAGGTGAATATTTATCCCTACACCCAAAGTAATATACTAGAGACTGGGAAGAGCTGTGGGTGTGTGCTGTTGAAGAAATGGTGGAGAATATTTGTAGATCAGGTGAATGGTCATGGTTGTGTAGTGTTCTCTGAGATGAGTTGTTTAGTCGTGGAGCTTTCATCATATTTCTAGACAACATCTTCAGTACTAATGACATCAAATTCACAATGGAGAAGTCAAATAACCACCTACCATTTCTGCATGTTTAAGTCAGCAGGACAAATGCCAAAAAGTTGGAAACCCAAGTGTACAGCAAGACAACACACGGTGACTGACCAAACCTTCAACTGCAGTTGTAACAACCTAACAACCCACAAAATTAGTTGCGTGCAGACTCTACTCAAAAGAACCAGAACACACTGCAGCATAACAACTTCACACGGAAACGAAGAAAATTACTTCATGTCCACCCTAAAGAAAAACGACTACCCACAAAACTTTATCACAAGATGCCTATCCTGTACATCATCAACTAAAAAGTCATCCACACAAATCAACAAACGCATCATCCTACAATACATAAAGAACATGTATCAGAAATCATAATAAGATTACTGAGACCACTCTGAATTGGTGTGGCAACTCATCAACTAACAAATTCCCTACAAACACTTATGCAGACCACAGGATGCAACAACCAAGGAAGACAAATCAAATATCATTTACAAAATCAACTGCAATAACTAACTGTAGTCAACACTACATTGAACAAAGTGGTCGCCCAACTTCCGCTTCATCTACATGAGAACATCAATTCGCTATTAAACCTCACACATAACATCTCATCCACTGACTATAATCAACGTGGATAACTATGGGCACGAATTCCATTTTAACTGTGTACAAATCTTGGATGGAGAGAGGAAACACAAAAATATTAGAGAATTCCTAGAAGCTTGACATTCACATCAGTCAGTCAGCAATCAATAGATGGATGTATAGACATAGAACCCAGTCAACCAACCAATGAGAAAGATGATAAACGACAGAAAGGTGAGAGGTCAATCAGAGGAGGAGCCAACAGGAAAATCTCTGCAGTCACTCAGTGACACAACAATCAAAGGAAACAACCAATGAAAAAGCATTTGGTCGGGTTAAGCTGCTAAATCACTCGCGGAGAGATACTGACAGCTCGCATCATACTGAAGTTAGTGCTGATGATGTGACGGTCTAGAAAGACGATGACAGCTTCTCCATGATTGAACAACCCAGCTCAGAGAACACAACACAACCAAGTACTGACAGAGTTTCGTACTAGGATGAGATAGCTCTACAGTTCCTGTAGGTTTTCAGTCGTTCTCCAAAGGATGTCAGTTCATGGTGAATACTACCTCGAAATCAACCAATCCACATACACCTCTAACTTTAAAGTAAGAATAATTAAATTGTTACACAGGAGGAAATTGATAATCAGTGAAATTCTGAGCTGTTTAATCCCTTGACTTGATACAGTTCTTGAATGATAATGGCTGTTGAATAGATCAGAAAAGATATTTACCCAATTGACAGAAATAATATTATTCATCTGTCTATGGATGACAATGTATAACCTACCTCAAATTCTACAGTTCCAATATCCTCTAAATTGTTATCACTCAAAGATTGTACTTCATCCGTCGTCTCAGAAATAATATTTTCAATATCAGGTAATAAAATTTCTTGATCTTCTTTGATTGTATTCAAATTGAAATACTCTTCACTTTCAGGTATACTAGGATGAGAATTTTCTGATTGTATTGCTTCCTCAAATTCATTGTAGCTGAATCATGAATGCAATAATAGATAGAATTTGTTTTATATCACAGTAGGCAATTATATAGTAATGATGAATAGTGACTAGCAGTGGAATCCAGGAAGCGTATTTCCTCCTATTTGGGACTCATCAGTCAGCTAGATGTACCTGTCTCCAAAGAAGTGGCTACCTTGGCTCAGTGGTGAAGTGGATAACGCTCTCGCGTTTGAAGCGATCGCTCCTAAGTTCAAATCCTGATGGGAACAACACTCACTGGGAGGCAGGTACATCCAACTGACTGGTGAGTCCCAAATAGGACGAAATACGTATCCTGGATCCCACTGCTAGCCACTAACCATCATTACTGTATAATTAAGAACACAGGCAATATCAAAGCATCCGCACAGGAGCCCATATACCAACACAGACTGATCAATTCGGTTCAATCAACAACGGTGTATTACAAGCAATAACACGGTAGGTAATTGTTGATATTATACTTATTTCCACAGACGACTTCATAAGAAAATAACCAGTTCACGTCTTGAAAAACTACTGTTGATAATGTACTCATGAATGAGTTTGGCAGCTATTGGTAAGTTAAGGTGAACACTTGATACCTATCATAATCATGAACATTAGAAGAACCTAAAACTTATAATCATACCGAAAATATGATAAACTAACTCGAACATAAATGACCACGACATTTAATTGATTTTTCTCAGGGACTAACTATTTATAAGGAAATCAGTTGTAGAATTTTAGATCAGTGGGAAGTTTCTCCAAGTGTACACCTGCGACCTTGACTGTTTGATCATCATGTTCATGAATCCAAACTACTGAACTCTCATCACTGCATTATACATGTTATGCCAAAAATATATTCCAGACTCTATTTTCATTGATTTATTAGATCTATCACATAGTGTAACAGTAGTGTTTACTGGTTTACGTTTCGGACATAATTTATTGTCCATAATCGCCACATCAAGATAACTACACAACTTAGATATTATTGATATAGTCCTAATTTCCTCGCCCCTTTTGTGACATGGGTAGTAAGATTTTCCATATATCCGGAACAGGTGCTGAGTCATTCCTGTTGCTGCATGTGTTAGGTTATATTCCAAGTTGTTATTCATCGTAGACTGACATCAGTTGAAGGAACAAAGTAAACCTCGGAGAACTTGATAGCTGTTTCGTCCTAGTATGCTACTCCTCAGCAAAGCGCACCCGCGACCTTCAGGTTCCGTGGCCAGCACGTTACCATTGAGCCACTGGGTCTGAGTTAGGTGTTAATTCGATAAACAAAGTTTAAGTTATCAATCTCGCCTTCCACCCTGTTATGTTAGCTTTAAGGATTTTCATCCTATCCCATCCTATTGTGTGATTGTGTGTAATCGTATGCATAGCTATGGCTGAGCCTCGCTTCTCTAAATTCCTTACCTTATTAGAATCTATCAATCTGGATCTAGCTAGGGATTTTGTGTTCGGATAGTCTAATTGACCCTGGTCGACTACCTTGACGAATCTATTTGATCTCGCAATCATTGTAAGGCATTCGGTAAACTTAGTTGTTCTGCTTAATTGGGTCAATAGGATCTTTTAACCTACAAAGCTTATTTCGAAGTGAGTTTGTAGGTTTAAATCCCACTCTAATCCCAGCCAACCTTATTGAGAATTCTATGTAGTATTTCTGAGGTGCCTTCTTTGTATGGTAATACTGTAGAGGCTTTGGTTTCTCCCTTCACAATATTCACGATACTATTAATAACATCATTATCACCACCATTATTACTATTATTGTCGCTGTCATTACCATTATTATTACTACTATTAACAACTGTTACTGATAATTTTTCTTACGATTCCTAAGCAGTTTATCAATTTATTTGGGAGGGTAGTTGTTGACGATTAAGACGTCTTTAATGTATCTAGTTTCTTGTCTTAGATCTTCCATTTTACTAAAACGGTGTAGAGAAAGATTGATAACTGAATCTTTGTTTATCGAATCAACACCTTATACATGCAGCAACAGGAATGACTCAGCATCTGTTCCGGATAAATGGAAAATCTTACTACCCATGTCACAAAAGGGGCGAGGAAATTAAGACTATATCAATAATCTCAAAGTTGTATAGTTATCCTAATGTGACGATTATGGTCAATAATTATGTCCGAAACGTAAACCCGTAAACAATACTATTCATTCACTATGTGATAAGTCTAATAATAATAATAATAATTATATATATATATATATATATATATATATATATATATATATATATATATATATATATATATATATATATATATATATATATATATCAGACTACAGAAAATTACTTTGTCATACCAATCTAAGAAGGCTATAAGGAGGAACTTTATGTATGACAAAATACTCAAACTCAGATGCATGTTACAAAATATAGAATGGAACATATTGGAAAATAATGCTTTGGCTGGCACAATTGACACCGTTACATGTTGTCTTAAATTTTGACAGGACATTTGCTACCCAGATGAAATAATTTTTTTAAGATTTGATAGACTTTCTTATCCACAAGTAAAAAGACTGTGAAGAGAAAATGAAAAACTGTATTAATTGAAGGATACTACTCGCGTTAAACATCTTAACTACCTGAATAAGTATGGAATAAAATAGTAAAGATGGATAGTGTCTAAGCAGTGGAATCCAGTATGCACACTTCATGCTATTTGGGACTCACCAGTTAGCTGGATGCTCCTGCCTCCCAGTGAGTGATGTTGTTCCCACCAGAAATCAGACTCAAGAACGATCGCTTCAAACACCAGAGCGTTATCCACTACACCACCGAGCCACTATAGCCACTTCTTGTAAGACGGGGTATAGGGTTAGGGTTACTGCTTGTACTATATCGTCGTTGATTGGATCGAATTCATCGCTTTTGAATTGGTTGACTGACCAATGCTGTATATCTGTAATGTGTGAATAGGAGTTATACTCCATCTGCTACTCAAATCTAGTTAACTCAGCATGATTTTGCATTGTAGATCATGTCAGAAACTCCGGTATAGTTGCATTTAATTCCTTGGTTGACAGAATTAGATATTAATCACGATAGAGAAAGTTATCATTTGATTATCTGAGATAGCCGTAGTTTGACAGACTAGTATTTATACTAAGTGATGATTGAAGGTGAAATGGAAATTCGTACCACGGCTGGGATTCGAACCAGCGACCACCGGGTTTCCTGCCCGATGATATACCAACTGACTTATGAGGTCGTCGTAGATTCTGTTATTTAAAATCATAATTCGTGTTTATAGACGAAGGGAAGTCTAAAAAAAGTCAGTCAGTCTATTAATTTGAAATAAAAACTGTTGTGTTACTAGTTGATTCAAAAAGAACTCATGATTTAAGCTTACTTATGATCCGTCAGTTCATCTCCGTTTGTATTGTCAATTATTTCATTGTGAGAATGTAAAATTTCATCTTTCATAAGATTCTTAGGTTCTGAACAGAATGTAGACTGAGTAGGTTGTGCGCTGTTCGGTGGAGCGATAGCTTCTGGTAGAAAGTCCGAAGACAACATATTTTCTGTATCGTCTAAGTTTGGGGTATGGGTGGGTGGGGGGCAGGAAGCAGTTTAATAAGTCAAAATACATTTTAAAAAATAGGAAAATATTGTAATTGTAATTAAAACTTAGCACTGTAATGTACTTCTGTGATATATTGTACAGATGAACAGATTTCTATGATTCCTTCTCAAGTTTGCGATTGCTTTCATCTGAAATCGAAGTAAAGCTCCAATAAATATCTTAGTGGATCGATAGCGTAAGCAGGGAAAAGGATTTCTGCATTAGTACTACTGTAGTAGGCGTTGCTGATCAGAATGGATGTAAGTAGTATATGGTGGCAGAAATTATAGGGAATTATCAGCAATGGGTAAAGATTCTGCCCAGAGAAATACAAGAGAAGGTGAGCGTATTAAGAGCAAATCAAGATAGTAGCAGAAGAGGAAATGAAGTACATTATGGAAATGACTGTTTTAGTACAAGGTGTATCATATTTGATGACTACTGTCCCAGATGTTAATGATAAACATTTGTTCCTTTTTCTCTATGTTCTCGTTTCCTTCACTGTTAGCGTTTTTTGAGTGAAAGCTCAAGAACTGTGGTTCAGGAGTCTAGGCATATTGTCTATAACCAACGGGTCGTGAATTCGGGCCACACTTTACTTCTAGAGGTCTGAGCAAACAGGTGGTATCTGTATCCCTCACCTACTCCAAGACAATATTATCTATTTGAGTACATCTGTCTCACAGCTTCATCACTTAGTATCAAAACACTAATAACTGAAGTAGCTTCATAGGTGGTATTTGTAAAAGGTTTTTTGAGTTATAGTAAGAATAATACACATCGACCACTTAAGCTAGTCAACAAGTCATCATCAATATCAATATAGGACCAGGCATTACTGCGTAACCGTCCAACTTGCCATAGCTCAGTACAGTACACCAAGTAGAAAGGTAGTGAGGTAAAGGATGAAGCATAAGAGAATGCAATCAAAAGAAATATAAAGTACGAGAAGAAAGAAAGGAAGAATGAGAAAATGGTGAGATTCGGTACAGCGTCGTTAAGATGAGGATAATGTGTGTATACATCTGCGCCACTGACATCGGTTCTGAGCCATATCCCCTAGAGTCTCTAGCCACTGGTTCCTCTTGTCCCATGGACTCCAACCACCCAGTCTGTATCGCCCGCTAGTCAACTAGACAGATTAATAGACGGTAACAGCATCCGAAAACCTTAAAATAAAACGTACTGAATCATACTTTAGTATGGAGATGCTAAATACGATTATCAGTAGTAACTTATAACTACAGGATTTATTCACCTGATAGTAAATAATGTCCAGTCACAAATAGGGCCGAAGTTTATCAATTTGGTTTATAATCAGATAAAAAGTCTGTATAACACGACACTGTAGTGTACTGCGTTCAGTGTTAAGTTCAGAGCTTCGTGTTGATTGAGTCTAGTATCGAACAGCAGATTATAGAATGGGATAAATTTGATGGTGGTAGCAATTATCACCTTATTTCTGTACAATTAACATCCCAGTGTAAATCACTCATTTATAAAAAGGACTTAAAACTGAAGAATAGTTTGAAAAAAGTGAGGATTCGTGAATATTCAGTCAGATATGTTATGCATACATGATCAAGTCATGAAAAGTACTTGCATACATAACGATATTCTCATTCGTCATCGCTATTCTGTACTAATACAATTGATACTAGATTCTGATTGGTAATCTTTTTAAGTACAAATAACTTTATGCTACTGTGATTACAGGTATTTAAGACTGAATTTAAAGTCCACCCTAGCAACAAGTGGAGTAATTAATCGAACTTCCGTATTTAACGAAAATCTGTCTTTCCAGCCGAAATGAAGAAACCTAATTGGTTATTCCGATTGTTGTTAGGGTGGCCTTTGAAGTCATCCGTATTTAATATTGTGTGAATCAGCTTAATTGAAATACTTTATGGCACTGTTTGTGAGGTTTTTGGTTGAACTTTTGAGACAGATTAAATTATATGCATTACATTAATGATTCTTGTTTCCCCTGAGTGTTTCTAACTTGCAAATTCTAGTGCATAATTTTATTACTTTTATTATTTGTCCCTGGGGTTCCTGGTGGAACATAGGGCTTCAGTAGCACAGCACCATTCCATTCTCGTCTCCGCAGTCTTATCAACCTGGCTCCACGGGTGCGCAGAAGCTTTCACTTCTTCCTTACACAATCTCCTCCATGTCACACTCGGAAGCCCAACTCGTCGTTTCCCATTTGGGTTCCACTCAAGGGCCTGGTCTGGCACATGATGTCCCCAAGTGATCTTCTCAGTGTATGCCCAACCCATCTCCACTTTCTTATGCATATTTGTTGAGTGACAGGTACTTGTTCGTTTGGTTCGTTGCTAGGCCACAGTTCCTCCTCGTTTATTCTTTCCCGCCTCCTCATCTCATCGCATCTTCAGTATGGAGTGAGAGTAGGCGGCAGCTCTTCATATATGTCTGCAATTTGTTGGAAATGCTTTTCGTAACGCATCAAGTCTCTCAGCCACTGGCTTGACTGATTTAGTGTTGAGAATCTGGATCTTCTTCTTTATGCTCAGTGCAGTGCAGTAGATCTCCACACTCCTTTCAGGTTAAAGAAGTCCTGTCTTGCTTTTCCGATCCTGGCTTTCACATCCTCATCTATCCCGCCGACACCTGTAGTTGAAACCATGTTGCCTAGGAAGGTAGGTGAAAGTGATAAATTCCGTTATATTCCTCCCGATCATGGTGATTAGTGTTTGTTGTTGTTGGTTGGGTATCTTCATCACCTGTGTCTTCTACACCTTCACCTGAAGGAAGTCCCATCTTTGCTGCCAAATAGCTCCCAACTTGTCAGTTTTCGCCTGTACATCTCCGAGTTTCTCCGACGTTAGACATAAATCATCATTGGCGAATTCCAAACCTTCTAAGGTCTTTTCATCGGTTAAACAGCGTCTTTCCATCTTCTCGCTCCTCACAGTTTCTTGTATGATCCAGTCTAGTCGACCACAATCAGGAAGATGATCGGTGATAGTAGGCAACCTTGTCTTACCTGTCAACCTGTCTTCACTTCAAAGGCATCACTCAGCTTTGCATTGTGAGTCACTTCGCATGTACCATCATCATCATCATCATCATATAGCACATAGCTGTTGAATGAAGTTGTGGTACTAAAACCGTAGTGTTAAAGCAGCTGCCTGGAAAATTACTTCTTGGTCGATGCTGTGCAAGGCGTTTTCAAAGTCGATGAAGTTGAGTTAAAGAGTTGACTGCCTAGTGCATACTAGGTGCGAATAATCCGATTTCGAAAACAACATAACAACCAGAAATATAATTAGTGAAAAGTTGATTAAAAACACATGAAATCCTATCTTAAAACAGAATAAATGTTGATCAAATCAAAGAAAATCATTTATTTGTGATGGAAAAACAAAATTCCTTGTAGATTCAAATAATATTTATTCATTACAATATGTTCATTTATAAACCAGAAGCAGATTTCCATCATGAAGACTAACTCTAGCACTGATACCTTTTCTATGCACCAATAACGATCCATAGAGCCATATAAGTCACATCACCTCTAACGTTTACCAATGAGTTCCAGTCGCTGGTTGTCAAACTGGTTCCATCCTAGACGCTGATTAGTTGTTCGAGCTTACAAGCCTAGTAACTACACTTTTTTTCTAACCTACTATGTACTTTTATGAATAGCGGAAAAAAGACACAGAAGTTAAGTGCACTATCGATCCATCCGTAAATCTTATTACAGAGCACTGAAGTGACCTTGATTAGGAAACTCTGCTATTGATAAGTTATGCTTTTTGCAGTTAAAAAGAACTAATTAAATTATTTATGATTTTATAATACTGTTGTACTTTTTGATGTTTTTATATCCTAGTAGCACAGTGGACAAATTAGATGTATTGATGAATGAATTTGGGTAACTTTAATGGTCAACCTTAGCAACTGATGAGACAGCTAATTACATTCCTTTATTTTATAGAAAAGTACTTTCTCAGTTGAAATATCGAAGCCTGATTGGTCATTTCAGCAGTTGCTAGGGTTACCATCAAAGTCACTCATGAATTTGGAGTGACTTTAAAGACCACCATAGCGACGGTCGTGCAGCAAAGAGTGGGGAGCGAGAAGAGGGGGATACGCTGGCTGGACTGCGGAAAAGAACCTAGAAGATCTGGATTTCGCCTGTGATGACTTGTGTCTGATGTCACACAAACATGAAGATGTATAGGCGAAAACTAACAAGTTGATAGAAGAAGCAGGGCAGCGAAGACTGGACTTCAAGTGAATATAGAGAAGACAGAAGTGAATATACCGCACCAACAACTCTAACAACAACAAACTACAATCATCATCAATGGGACAAACTTAAAGGAAGTAACCTCCTTCATCTATCTAGGAAGCACTGTTTCAACTACAGGTGGCTGTGGCACCGACGAGGATGTCAAGACCAGTCAGAATCGGAATAGCAAGACAGACGTTCATTAGCCTGAAACCAGTGTGGAGATCTTTTGCACTCAGCATGTGGAACAAGATCCAAATTTTCAACACCGACGTCAAGTCAGTGCTTCTGCATGGTTCAGAGACTTGGCGCGTCACGAAAGGGATCTCCAATAAACTACAGACATACATCAACAACTGCCTACACTGGCTCGTTACTGAAGATGGAGATCAGATGGCCAGAAAGAATAAGCGACAAGGAGCTCTGGGAACGAACCAACCAAAAACTTATCGCTGAACAAATATGCACTGGAAGGAAGTGGAGATGGATTGGGCATACACTGAGAAGGCCGACTGGGGGCATGACGCGTCAGGCCAGACACTCGAGTGGAATCCCCATGGGAAGCGACGAGTTGGACGTCCGAGGGTGAGATGGAGGAGATCGTGCGAGGAGGAAATGAAAGCTTGTGGGCTGTCGTGGAACCAGATTGAAAAGATTTCAGAGAGCAGAGTAGAATGGAGACGTGCTACTGAAGCCCTATGTTCCATTAGGAACCCAAGGGACTAATAATAATAGCGACGATCGAAATGACCAACTAGGCTCCTTCATTTCGGCTACAAAAGCAGATTTTCATGAAATAGAGAAATCTAACTGGCTGTTTCAGTTGTTGCTAGGATGGCCTTAAATGTCACTCAGCTAAATGAGTGTGACCAGTTTGAAACAAGTTCATTTCAACTAAACAAGAAGACGTAACGTGTCTGAATAACAAGTTGAGTAGTGTGATGAAATATTGATGAATAATTTTTAATCAAAGTGGGTAGTAGTAGTTGAAAATATGTAGGAAATGAATGGAAATACAGAATTGGTAGAAGGGCATTTCAGGGATATCCTATGAAATATATAGTGAAAACAAACAGAATTGACTTTCTTGTCACTTCACCCTCTATTGACCGGCGTTCACTAGCCTTAAAGCAAACAAACTTGACGTAGACTCTTCGGTCATCTTGCAAATATGAATCTTACACAACATAGTGCGTATACGTCTGCTTCTCATACTCCTTTAAGGCGTCATTCAAAGACTTTAAAGATAGAAAAGCGGCGAGACAAAAGTGCTCCATAAAGATTGATTCGTTATCGGTCACAACGCTTCGGATGGTATCGTAGCTCATCATGCAAATAAAGTAAACCTTCCCAGTTTGCTGTTTTATATTAACTATTATTTCGTGTAACTAATCACGTGGGATATTACCTCGTTTATTTTGATTCGACAAGAAGTGGCACAGAGAGTGAGGCTAGAAAATAACACTTACAAAAAGTTAATAGCCACGGACCAAATGTATTTCATGATTTTGTTTGCACAGTCTGTTGATTTTAAGGCTTTTTTAATACCTTTATGTCCTGATATAGGGATACAGAGAAATGACTAGACTGGAAAGGGATCAATCAAAACGTACTTTATGTAATCATTTCTACAGTTAGGCAAACAGACGGTGGACCAGCCAATCAACAGGATTATTTTAAACAGCCAACTACCTGAATTTGGGAGTTTGTAGAAATTTAGAGGTATTTCAAGTTGGTTTTCACTATGGACTGACATCAGTTAGAGGAACATTGGAAACTTAGGAGCACTGGACAGCTGTTTCATCCTAGTATAGGACTCTTTAGCCGTGCGCACTCACGACCCCGCCAGGATCGAACCCACGACCTTCAGGTTCCGTGGCCAGCACGTTACTTTTGAGCCACTGAGTCCATGATGAACTCCAACCTAAAGCCAATTAATAAACCTCCACAAACCTCCAGACAGAATTAATCTGGCGCTCGTTGGTGACTAGCTTCGAGAGGTGATTCCTGAAGTTCCGCTAGTAACCCAAAGGATATATATAATAAAAAATGAAATACATGGTCAGGTACTTTCAATGTGAGCAGTAAAAAACAAGCAGAAACCCCCGAAATGCCCCAAAACACCGTTAAAAAAATATCTGTTACCATTTCATTTCACTCGGTTAAAAATGAAAAAGGAAGCTGTCTCCCTATCGGTATATCATCCGGTAATGGCTCAAGGACAGTCAAAATTCAAAGTTCCACGAGTTTCAATCAAAGAAGGAAATATCCTTTATATCCACAACTTCGTCGTGACATACGTTTTGGATTCGAAAATTTGCATGTAACTTATGAGTAAGTGATGACACAAAATAAGCACAATTCTTCGATGTAGAGTACTTCAAAACAAAATCTTCAGGGATAAAAAAAAAAGTCATACCATGCGGCACCCTGACTACACATATTGCAAATGAATCAGTAGGAGCGTTAGTAACAATCTTTTAGATAGGACCACATACCTAAACCAAACGCTTACCTACATATTTGGTCTAATCTCAAGTTTCTGTATGATGTTATCAATAAAAAAGACAGGTATAGCATATATATATTTTAGGGGTAACATCTTGATTATATGGGCAAACAAAGAAACTCCATTGTCTTATAAAAGTAATAATATCCCTTACTTATAGGTGCTAGCTAGCAAGATATCTAAATTCAATGGTATCCTGGTGACCATCCTCAAAGTTAAACACTACAAAAGATTGAGAACAGCAACGGTTGTAAATCCATGGAACCTAAATGAAAGCGGCAGTCCAGGATTCGATGAACATTTTGATAAATATTTAAATTTTGAAATACAATTATCTTTGTTCGTGGATATGTAGAAATCATGAGTTTTGATTGTTGACTTCTGGCAATATACATTTCTGAAGTTACAGGAATAATCTAGAAGGAGCGAAATTCGTAACCATTCACAATCCCACTTATCAAAGAATATTATCCTTTAGACAAATATTATATTCTTAGTGTTATTGCTTGTATTACAGCGTCGGTGATTGGACCGAATAGATCAGCCTACAGGAGCCCATATACCAACAGAGACTGATCAATTCGGTCCAATCAAAGACGATATAGTACAAGCAGTAACACTAAAACTATACCATCACACAAGAAGTGGCTATAGTGGCTCGATGGTGTAGTGGATAACGCTCTGGTGTTTGAAGCGATAGTTCCTGAGTCTGATTTTCGGTGGGAACAACATCACTCACTGGGAGGCAGGAGCATCCAGCTAACTGGTGAGTCCCAAATAGCATGAAGTGTGCATACTAGATTCTACTGCTAGCCACTGCCCATTACTACTATAAATATTATATTCCTTTGAAATTAGCCTTAATTATAAATATTCATCAGCGATGCATTTCACAGAAATATCTCCGTTTAACGAATCCACTCATTAAATATTTGTTTATTAGCGAATGTATACGGTATTTACAAAACTACAATCCATGAGAAAAATTAAATATTGAGTGTTGGCAACAATAATATCAGTTTTAACTGATTTGTTGCATTCACACCACCTGATCCTTCTTTTTTCGATTAAGTCTACCATCTTTTTTTAACCCCTATGTACTTTATGTACACCTTATGATAGGCTGAAAATTTGACTTGGGTCTTTTCTGTTGTCATTCAAAATTTATATCTCCAATTATCTATGAGATTATGACTATAAACATTATTATTATTATTATCTATTGTTTAAATACCTCAGACTACAGTTTGCAAATATCATACCATAATAAACAGCTGCTTGAGAATAAATTTCTTTAAAAACAACATCTCTTCGACGAACTGGTTTTCTTCCCTTAATTTAATGAAAATGTCAAGAAACAACAATGAATAACTATCAATACAGTATAATTGTTTCTATATCAAACCGTCATTATTAGAATTTACGTCATACCTCCAATACAAAGCAGGTACATACATACAGCGCATCCTGGATTCCACTGTTAGCCACTATCCATCATTACAATTATCAATATATTAATGAAAGCTGTTGACTATTGAAGTCAAGCCTGATTAGTCTATAGTTATATAGTTTCTGTAGAATTCATATTTTTAAGGTGGATTTCAGAATCATAAATCAATGCATTGCTAAATGATCTCATGATAAGTAGAAACAACCGCTATATCGGTTAATTACTAAAAAAAAATCTTCAAATAAACATATATGTCTGTTGTTATTGCTTGTATTACACCATCGTTGATTGAACCGAATTGATCAGTCTGTGTTAGCATATGGGCTCCTGTGCGGATGCCTCGATATTGTCTGTGTTTTAATTATGTATAGTAATGATGGACAGTGGCTGAGCAGTAGTAGATAACGCTCTGGTGTTTGAAGCGATCGCTCCCAAGTCTGATTTCCGGTGGGAATACCATCACTCACTGGGAGGCAGGTACATCCAGTTGACGAAATGCGCATCCTGAATCCCACTGCTAGCCACTGCCCATCATTACTAAACATATATGGTGTTGTGTATTTAAAGGCAATCCAAAGGAAACCCTGAAACCTATGTGGCTACGTTGAGGGTATGACGTAGGTTCTAATAATAAGCGAATGAGATAATAACGCAACTAGATACTTGGACTGGGGATGCTAGTAATACGACTGGTTTAACCCATACTCAATATTTCACTGAGCTGCAAAAGTCAGACAACAAAAGACGGGCCTATGATTGTTTTAAAAAGACGATTTTATTGAACAAAAAACAAAGTATTTATATACAGCTGCTGTTCAAAAAATGAAACCTCTAGATCACCAATCAGATGGACATAAATCGAGGTCTAAAATGAAAATATTTCTACCTCACCGGTGAATAACCTTGAACAATTGCCCATTTTTTGGCCATTTCTTAACAGAACCTAAATTGATTTCAGGCTTGCTTGTACATTATCAGCAAATCGCATCTACAACTTCAAGAAAATCAGTGGCTGCAAAGAGATCTGAACCCCGTATCACTCAATTCTGCAGTCATATAGACGTTACCGAATGAGTTATTCAACCTGCGATTGACCTCCTACAATGCTGGTTTATTATGTACAATAATCAAATTCATTTCGTCTAGTCCAAGTCGTATTCAACCGAGGATTCTGTAATAAGGGTTGATAGAATTTAGTCAGAATATAGGACTAGATAAGATAACATAAGATTCCTTGCTACCCAGTAACTAATGTATGTAAATATGAAAGTGTATCAAAAGTGTGATTTAGTAGGTAATAAAACTATTTACCATAATGTGATATTCATTACCTGTTTCTTTCACAGATAAAGGAAACCAAATTTCTGTTGGTAGACTGAAGGAACGATGTAACTTAGGTGTACTTGAATTCACCTCATCATGGTCTATATTATATTTAAAAATGAAATCAGAATCTTCCAGATTATCGAATTTAGAACCAGCTACTGCAGATGACGATCTTTGTCGAATTGAGTCCTCTTCAAAAATAATAAAGATAAAGTAAACTTTTATTGATCATCAAGAATTTTCAATGATTTTAATATGAAATTAATCAATAATTTTTTTAAATAATGAGAATGACATAAAATATCTACTGATTAAATTATCCGAAATACCTTAGTCGATAGATGAAACTTCACATGAACTAGATACTATGGGGGTGACAATTTTTTTTATTATTGTTAGTCCCTTGGGTTCCTAATGGAACATAGGGCTTCAGTAGCACGTCTCCATTCTATTCTGCTCTCTGAAATCTTTTCAACCTGGCTCCACGACAGCCCACAAGCTTTCATTTCCTCCTCGCACGATCTCCTCCATCTCACCCTCGGACGTCCAACTCGTCGCTTCCCATGGGGATTCCACTCGAGTGTCTGGCCTGACGCGTGATGTCCCCAGTCCGCCTTCTCAGTGTAGACGGTTGACTGCCATTCTATACTCTGTTGTATGGTGATGCGCAGTGTAGCGTTGCAATTTGGTCCGCACATGATTTGTACTTCCTGAAGCCAGCCAGTCTGTTCTGGTAGTAGTTTTGAATCCAGTGCATCCTTCAGCCTCTCCAGGATGATGTGGCTTAATATTTTGCTTGCTCTGGGTGGACAGGAGAGTGATTCCACACCAGTTCTTGCAAACACTGAGGTCTCCTTTCTTCGGCAGTTTGACAAGGTAACCCTTCTTCCAATCAATGGCCAGGTACCTTCTCTTCCTTCCACACCTTCTGCAATAGTGGTGTGGTGTGAGCATGTCCGCTGTTGTCTCTGCGTCTGTTTTCAGTGCTTCTATCGGGATCCCATCTGCTGCTGCTGCTTTTCTGCATTTCAGTAGCTTTATGGCGTTCAGGACTCCCACTTTTGTTGTAGGATTTGTGTTCACTTGTAGTTCAGCGGCTGCAGGTGGTATTTCTGGACGAAGTGCAGGTGGTGGTCGATTCAAGAGCTTCTTGAGGTGTTCGGCCCATTGTTTCCTTTGTTTCTCTTTTTTCTTAATTAAATTTCTGTCATCATCTTTTATTGGTTTCGTCTGCGTTGATCTCTTCCCAGATAGCAACCTGGTTATTTGATACAACGTTGTCAGGTCTCTTACCTGCAGCCTGTTCTACTTCACTTGCCAGTGTTTCATAGAAGTGTCTTTTGTCTTTGCATGCACTCTTCTTCACTTCTTTGTCCAGTGTAGTGTTCTATACATTGTACTCAGTTCCTCTTCTCGTCGTTCATCCTTGCACTGCACTGGTTCATCTTCTGCTTCACCATCACCATCTTCCTCTCCTTGCTCTATCAGCTTCCATGTATCTGTCGAGATCCATTCCTTGTCTTGCCACTTCTTCTTCCTTCCTGATACGGCTGTGCAGGTTTCTTTCCACATAGCTTTCAAAGACTTCCAGTGTTCTTCCATACAGGTTTCTTCAGGGATGTTCCTCGATATCTCCCATTTTGTCTTGATGGCTGCCTTGAAGATCTCCTTTGTAGTTTCATCCTTCAGTTTCCGAGTGTAGTACTTGAACTGCGGTCTATCACCAGCTTCCTTAAAGGTTTTTAACTTGATTTGGAAGGTTCCTTGCACTAGATAGTGAGTGGTATGAACCTACATCTGCTCCTCTTCTTGACCTTGTGTCAAGTAGACTGCGTCTCCATTTTCTTGAGATTGAGATAAAGTCGACTTGAGTTTTAGTGTGTCCATCTGGTGAAATCCAAACCATGTCGCTTTGTGGATATCCTTGTGCTTGAACACACTGCCTCTAATCATCGAATCGTTGAATGCACAGAATTCTGCAAACAATTCTCTATTCTCGTTCATCACCTCACCGAGCGCTTCTCGACCCATGGTTAGTTCTCTTCCCGTGTTGTCCCCTCCCAGTTTGGCATTCACGTCGCCCCACCAATTAGAATTTTGATGTCGCTAACTGACTCGCGTCCAGTGTTGATTACAGCTGTCTGTAGAATTCCTCCTTTTTCTCTTGCTCTGCATTATTTGTAGGTGCATAGCATTGTATGATTGTGACCTTTCTTCCTTTTGAGTTGAATCTTGCTGTCATGATCCTGGAGGAGATTGGTTCCCACTACATGACAGCCTTCGATGCTCTTGAAGGGGACATCATGATAGCCACTCCATAACTCAGTGTGCTCGTGATTGTCGTCTGGGTGACAATATCGGAGTAGATTATTGATTCCCCAGTTGACGTTTGGAGAGTCCACTCCCATTCCATCTGCTTTCGCAAATCCCAAGCACTTCGATGTTATACCTTCTCATCTCTTTTGCAATCTGGGCTGCCTTACTGGGTTCAAACATCGTACGGACATTCCATGTCCCCACGTTTACTTTTGCTTTCATCGAGAGAAGTGAAGACATATCGGCCAATTGGCTTCCCGAAGGCTTTCACCAACTGGCGTCATTTCGCCTCTCCGATTCCAGCAAGGAATAATTTTGTTTTCATTTTTTATATTTTGTTTGTGCTTTGAAGTTTCTTTAGCGGTTAGATTTGTTTTACGGGGTAGGGTTGCTAGCCGTATGCCCAACCTTCCCTCTTTGTGTGGACTTATGACCGGCTAGTAACTAGTGAACTAGTTAACCAGGCGAGGTTTGGTGACAATAACTGACTGAAATTAATAGATCCAGTGTGCAATCTGGCCAACAAACCACAGGTGTCTCCGTCATATTGTTTGTCTAAGGTAAAATCCTCACGTTACCAATCTTAAGGTTAGCCGAATAGTATTGCATAAGGAAGGAAAGGAAGTCGACTAAAATGTCAACGTCCATCGACTAAGGTGGTTTATTTAATAACAACGTTCGCATACTGTTTTAGCCGGAGTAGGATTGAGTTGGAAGAAAGCTAAGGGTGGCTACAAGAAGAAGTGGTACCATATCACGAAACCTCCCGTTGTTGATTTGAGACGTGTAGTGGGATGAATGCTACGCGGCTGCAGTACTCAAGATGACACAAACTAGTAGTAAGAGACTGTCGGTGCTGCAGATCAGAAACAATATAAACACTTGATCATTTTTGAGTTCAGGAACTTATCACAAATATTCAGATTTCGTCACTCAAGTTGCACAGACACCTTTTCATATTGTCAGTATGCCCACCCATTAAAATTACGTAAACCCTAACATCTTTCTATTATGACAAGTCATTACATTCACTTTGTTTTCTAATGTGTCATCACTCTTCTACTTTTGACCAGTAAATATAAGCAAAGCAGAAAAAAGAAGACGAATTGCCCAATATTGATCGTCAAATCACTCTTTGTATACCTTTTAATGTCTAGAAGCAATTGTTTTGGAAACTAAGTAGACTCACGAACTAAAACAATTCTGAATTGTGTTGAGTTTAAATCTAGATTTCTTATTCAAACAACTCTTTAAAAGATAAGCATTCATGTGTCATGGAAATGATTCTTTTGCATCCATGTGAGAAAAACTCACCGACCAGTTGCCTCCAGCCAGCCACCTTACATCAATTGAAGTGCTCGTCGATGATGAGTTTCTGGACTCAGTGACCACACTGTGAAACGATCGATATAGGATTGGTTACAGTCCGTTGGTCAATCTACACAACTCAACTGTTACCTCAATAGCATAGTGGTAACTAACATCTGCAACCGCAGCGCCGGTTGAAGTTGGTTTGGAGCATGGAAAAGAAAATCGGGTTTCTCGAGTTTTTAGATATGCCTTACTAACAAGTGGTAACAAGCAGGTGGACTTGCATGAGGCTAAACTTCTCATCAACTGTCTACAATCAATTTGCATCAAGACTAAACATTGCTGGAATTATTTCAAGTTGTTATTCATCATAGACTGACATCAGTTGGAGGAACAAAGGAAACCTAGGAGCACTGGACATCTGTTTCGCCCTAGTATGGGTCCATCGGATTGTGACCCAGTGGCTCAATGGTAACGTGCTGGCTACGGGACCTGAAGGCCTCGGGTTCGGTCCCTGGTGGGGTCGTGGGTGCGCACTGCTGAGGAGTCCCATACTAGTCGGACGAAACAGCTGTCCAGTGCTCCCAGGTCTCCTTTGTTCCTCCAACTGATGTCAGTCTTCGATGAATACCAACTTGAAATATTTTCAAATCCCCACAACTCCCTCAAAATTCAATTGCTGGGATTGAAGAAACTACACATAAATCTGACACAACTGTTTGGTTTTACCTCTTCAGTGACTACGCAGGTAAAGTTTATAAGTAGATAAAATTATCTAGAACGAGTTTATTGTTCACCAAGAAAGGTAGATGGTTCAGACATTTTATGTAGTGTGAAAACCAAAAGTATTCAATAAAATGGTCAAATCTACTTCAAAGACAATACATATACACACATATGTTAAGTCACCACTGCTCACCTACGGCCCCAACTGGATTTACACGCAATACCAAGCTTCATTACGTTGAGTCTACGAATTAGCAACTAATGTCAGTGATAAGTTGTTGTTTTCTTTTGTGCTTTACTTATGTGTGGATAAAGTGGTCTAAATCTTCTCATTCACTATTCAGAAATATAGTAACTCACACAGTTTGTTGTCCTATCCTACTTCATATTTGTGAAACACGGTCTATGAAAACAGAAGATATGAAAAGGTTACAAATTTTTGACCACAGATATCTTTGTAACATTACCGGCGTATGATAAAACCACAGAGTGAGCAATTTCGAGGTTAGGCCTAGTGTACTACGCAAGGAAGACAAGACTAGATGAAATCATAGTCTTTGAATGACTGTGATAGTATAGGCATGTGTTTCGCATACTGATCTACCTCTGATATCAATGCAAAATTCTAGGAGAAGTTGGAGGAAGTATAATTGTTTTTATATCATACCGTCGTTGATTGGACCGAATTGATCGATCTCTATTGGCATATGGGCTCCGGTGCGGATACCTCGATATTGCCAGAGTTCCAATTATGTTAATGATGAATCGTGGCTAGCAGTGACCGATCAATTCGGTCCAATCAACGATGGTATGATATAAAAACAATTATACTAAAACT